CAAACTATCTCGTCGAAACTTCAAACGAAAATATTTAAATAAAAAAAAAAAACATAAAAATCCATAACTTTGGTAAATATATCTACTACGCACAAAGTATTAACACTCGATATACTCACTATGCTCGAAAAGTTTCTATATACCGTATACCTATATAGGCAAATATTTTGAATTTCACAAACGCCTAGGTAAGAAAATTCGATTTTTTACGATAGTTTAAACTGCGGTTACACATTTAAAAAAAAAAAGTGGAATTTCGAGCACATAAAAAATAAAACTCTTATGTATAAATCAAAATCGGTGAATAGTAGTTAAAATAAATTATAAAACTACAAAACCAAACAATTTAAATTATCACATACCTTTTCGAGGGGTTCCAATTTAACTTTGAGCGCTTCCATTTTGGCCATCAGTTCTCTTTCTTTTTTTAATTGATGTTCTTCGACATTTAGCGATTCGTACAACTGGCTGACCAATGTCCTAACACCGGAAAGCCGTTCTATATCTTCCTACAAAAATAAATAAACACATCGTAAAATGAGAATGTCGCCAAATGATGAAATTCTTTTTTTTAAATAAAATATTAAATACTAGTTTTAAACGTAGCCGGTTGTATATAAAATTAAAATGTTCAACGCCATTTTTAAAAGAGGGATGAAAAAAGGCATTAGAAATTAGAATAATGCAATATACAAACACGAGCACTTTTTTATGTAGGTATCTATATATGATACAAAAATGTATTATTTACGCGCAACGTAATATTAATATTATTATTTATTAATACATTACCCGATTAGATAGAAACACGAAATTTTAATTTTATATAGACCAGATATCTATATTACATCCAATTCGATCAAAGTTTATAAATGTGGGTTACACCCTAAACACACGAATTTACGCGATCTGATAAGGTAAACCGTCTGATTTTATATATTATTATATAGAAGAAAAAATGGGTGGGTACACACATTTGAAGGCAGTAAATCGTGTTAGCTGATTAAAAAGAAACATCAACGTAAGCAGTATTATTATTTGATAAAGGTAAATTGTTTAAAAATTAAGCGCCTCCGGTTCGTTCGAAATTCGAAAACATGAAACAATTTCTCTTACGTGTTTATACTATCGTACATATTTTAGGATGTTTCGCAGTTTATGATCAACACACATATAAACAACATATTTTGCGGTACCTTTAAAATATGCATAATACATTATATGTTAGAGGCAAAGTTGGACAGTAACTAGTTAAAAGGTTAATAGTTATAAATTACCTAACCTAACTTATTTTAATTTTAAATAAAATTAAAATGTCAGAAAATAATTTTAACTTAACTAAGTTATTTTGTTAAAATTTAGGAAAAAAAAAACGATCTGCTGGTAGGTGCACCACTGTTGTAGGCGCGAAGTTGGGAAGGAAGTTTTCAATTTATATCTGTAAGCAACGACAAACCATTCAGAGTGAAGTTTGATTGATTAAACACATTTTGAAAAAGCGTAATATTTACAAATTTACAATGATGATTAGGAAAAATATAGGAAAAATGGAAAAATTTATGAAAATAATAAAAAATATATTTATTTTAGATTCCGAGCGTAACGAAGAATCTATTAGTTTTACTAAGATGTTTATTTTTTTTTCTTCTAGCCTGTGAATATATTTTTCCAAGTAAACTTCGATTTTTACGTTTAGCAACTTTTCTGAAAGCTCAAGTTGTCTAAATGGTATTTTAAAGAGATCATTTTTTGAATATCACTACCATTTTTAAAATAAAACACTTAAGTGGAAAAAAACGTGAGAAAACGTACAATTTCACGATTTCATTATTTTATAAAAACACGGACGTTTTAAAAAAAAATCTAATAAAAAAAAATTTAATCGAAAAACCACAGGATACCTTTTTTGTTGCCTTTTTAATTTAATCTCTTACGATATCATTGCCAATATCTTTTAACCACTTTTGAGCTTTTAAGGAATTTTAATTTTTAGAACTTCTTTGCCGTAATTCGGTTATAAATACACGTAGAGACTTGAAACTTGGTAAGAATACTTATATTGGACTTACCTACCTAAACGTGATAAAATTTACAAAATCATCGGACGACTTTTTTTTTTTCTAAGCGTTTTGAAATCAAATTTAAAAGAAAATCGCAAAAAAAAAAAAAAACTATAGCACTTCAAATTATGTAATTCCAAATTGCGTTCGGAATCGTCTTTCATCAAGCAATGGTTTATCGTTGCATACAGATTTAAATGAAATAACCTTATGTATTCTACCTTTCCAACTTCTCACCTATAACAGTGACCACTCCCATTCCTAATATCAGCTCTTTTTTTTTTTTTTTGTAACTCAGTAAAAGATGTTCGTAGAGATTGAACAGAAACCACATATTTGTGTACCTTTTCCGTGGTAAAATTTTTAAGACATTTGAACTATTTATAGACAATAATTAATTATTAATTTGAGTTTTACGTAATATTAATTTGGTAGGTACTTTTGTGGATAAAATCGCTAGACCAAACAGAAATACTTATAAATTGTACTTAATGGTTAATATGAACAATTTAAGTTTAATGTAATATTTTATTTCCATAAAACTTAAATATCAAATTTTGACGAAAGTCGTAAATATTACGGTCTTTTAAAACGCGAATATCATTATCAAATAACAAAACAGGCATACGATCATATATAATATCTATTTAGGTATATGGGATGTGACTCCGCGATTTTTGTATATTAAAACCTCACATATGACGCTTGTTTTGCTGTGTATGGCTTACTGGGAGCTTTGATGGATGCTGCTTCATTTAAAAGGCTATAATTTTAAAAAACGCCATTACTTATAGTTAATGAAATTGTCGGTTGAAACTAGCTATACGGTAGCAAGATTTTTTTGTAACCCACGAAACCGAAATTCGTTGAACTTTTTTTTTTTTGGTTATAACCTTGTTAAATCCTTATTTGAGAGAGTGAAAACAAGCAAAAAAAAAAAGGTCATCATCAAATGTGGCTCTCGGTGAAAAGTCGAAAAAAATACGTCCCACATGTATAGATACGTATATAAAAAGGTTGTCGACCGCTGTGGCGCAGCTTTAGACGGCTTTTCAAATCGATTCTCGGGAAATACAATCTGTGCAGTTTTCCTACATTCATCAAATTGGTCGGCTGCTGCAGGATTTTATCGTTTCTAATTACAAGTACCTAACAATCCGTTGTACAAATCAAGCGGATTGCATTATCAGGTTGCAAATATTTTTCTCCTGGAAAGGCAATGAATGCAGATGAATTTAATAAAAAGAGATGATCGGAAAATGTAAAATTAGCGTTTATACCTTTTTATAAGAGTTTTATACAACGTTCATTCAACTTTTAGTTCTAATATCTATATGTAGTAAGCGGCTATTTTCCGTAATGAGTTTCTGATGTTTCTAAACGTCTAATAGTCAGCTTAATAAGAATAGTCTTTTTCATTTCATAGATTGAAGTTGATTTAAACTAAATAATAAAATGAATTAACATATAGATATCTAAATATTATCTATATAAAAACAAAAAGCTGATAATTACTGATGATACTACTGATGAATAAAGATATAGTATAGAGAAATTTGATTTGTGTGCATCACATCGATGGACCGTTATCAACAAAAACTATTTTGAGCGGAGTATTATTAGTCGTATTTTTTCCTTTGTTGCTAATGTAATTCAGAATTTAATACAATATTAGAAAGGCGTTCATAAATTATTCGCATCAATCCACTACATTAAATATATGAATTCTGGAGCATATTATGGATTATTGTATTTAAATACTATAGTAATGAACCACGTAATTTTTTAATTCCGAACCTTTGTGAGTTTCTTGTGCGGTGGCACTTTAACCGTGAACACGCGGTCATTGACGGTCAACCGGAAGTCTTCTTCCATGAGCGATTCGATTGTATTGGAAGACGCGATCCGTACACCATCGGAGTTAGATATGACCACGCGATCGACGCCCTGGTCCTCGATTTTCAACATGTCGGTCAAGTCACCCACTGTGTTGGTCACCGGCCGCAAGGTGAACTGGCAAAGTTCACGCCTGGATGGCAAAGGAACTGTGACCCTGGGTAATCCGCGTCTTATCTCAACGTGAATTTCTGTATAAAAAATAAAACAAAACAGCTCTACTTAAGAACAGGTACTTATTATGATAAATGTGAAAAATGAATGGAATTTTTTCCTTTTTTTTTTTTTAAGCTGGTTAAAGCGATTTTGCCGGTTCTCGTTCGCGATTAAATGCAATTAGACCCTTTAAATTCGAGCTCACTCTTAATTACATCGAACGCGCAATTTATATACGGGCTCATGGAGGATAAAAAGCTTAAAGCGTATAATAGTCCGAAGATTACAGTCATGATCTTTATTATGAAATTACACCGGAATGTTTTTTTTTTCAAAAATGTATAAAACTACTTGAATTACCCAACTTAAAGAGACTACGCTCAAAATAAATAAAAACTAAAAATATGAATACAGTTTTTCATTTATAACCTAATTTAACTATATAAGAGGAATCCAAGTGTTTTTTTTTTCGTATTACAATACAATTTCAAGTATCCGGGATAGTATTTTTCTATTTTTTTTTCTATTTAAAACAGAAATTATTTTAATTCCTTTGCAGATAAATACGATTTTTTCACGATTAAATTATTACGGAACAGTGATTATTTTCACTAGTAGTTGCTAGTAAATTTCATTATCGTTTCGCCATCAACGGAGGAGGCGGCTGCGCGATCATTATAAACGCAAGACGGTGTAACAGGTACACACGGGAGGAAAAAACTTCATTAGTGTGATGAAAAGAAAGTAACACCCGCGTATCGTTCCAGTAGATCTATCAAGTGGGCGAGAGGAAAACAAAATTCGTATAGGTAGGTACATCGTGGGGCATTTTCCTTAATTAACATTAAGAAACGTGTCTAAATAGTATAATTATTATACAAAAGTGGGCAATACAGTCGGTAGTTCACTCGTCAGTCAGACGCAAAGTGGTCCGGTTCTTGGTTTTACGATTATCGACGCGTTCCGGCCATCAGCAGAGTATTGTACCGAGGTAAGGTTTTTATAGTATTATATAAATAATTTTTGTTTTTGAAGTACTTACTTCTATAATCGATAATACGTCTCGATTTTGACGAACAATTAATAAGTATTAAACACATCATAATCACCTGCAGCCAGTGGCGCAACTAGTTCAACTAGGGCCCCAGTGTCACTTTCAACGAAGGGGTCCTAATTTAATTTTTTTACGCTTATATTTATGAATAAAATTTGAGATAGTCGATAATTTGTCGATTGGAAAAAACGAGGTAATGTTAACAAATTTCTAAATTGTTGTAAAAGAAATTAAGAAAACCCAATAATGATGGGCATAACACACATTTTCAATTTTTTATACATATTTTTATAACTCGCCTAATACTTAGTCTTATTAAAAATTTAAATAGATTAACCAAATACATATAACCATAATATATTCATATACAACAGTAATTTAGTTATTTAGTTATTTGTATACAATACATTTTACATATGTATTAACTTTTAAATAATTAGATATTTATAACTTACCACTTGAGAAAGTTTTTTTTCTGATTTTGAAATTTGCAAATGTAGAAATAAATTTACCAAATCTAGTTTATTATCTACATCTCTTTCTATATTTAAAATAGCAATATTAGAAAGGCGATCCTGACCCATGTTAATTAATTTAATTTCAATTTTGAGAATGACCTTTCTATTGTTGCTACTGTCATAGACAGTGAAATATAAATTATACATACAGTTATTACATTGGAGTAAGTTGTACCGAAATCATTTTTAATTATAAATAAAGATTGTTTGAATTGTTGTGTTTAATAATCCTCTTAAACACAATAATTATCGGGTGAAATCTGCAAAAAAGTCTATTAAAGCCTTAGAGATCTCATATTATCAAACATTTTATTTTGATAAGTATTAACTCGCGTACTAATTCGTAAATACTAATCAAATATAGTTTAATAAAAATAAACATTTTCAATAAATAAAACAATTTCCGTGAGACAATAATCCAGGGGTGTTTCCAGACCTTGACTATGGGAGGTTGAGCAAAATAATTAAATTTAATATTAATGGTTGATAAGAAAAAAAGATGGATATACTTCGCACGATGAATAGGACCACTGTTATAGATGAGAAGTTGGGAAGGTAGAATATTGAGGAAAATTTAATATATATCTGTACCTAAATAAATTTAAACATTTCCAACAAAAAACGATTCTGAGCAGAGGTCGGTTAATAGTATTGTTCAGGGGCATCTTTAGGTTAGTTACATGGAGGGAGGGGGCGAACAATTTTCACTCTTGAGTACCACCACTTTGGTCAACAAAATTCCAACTTATATTAGCTTAGAAGACTGCAGATATATTATACAAATGCAGTAAAATAGTGCAATTTAAAAGTTAAATTTATTTTTTTCACATTAAATAAATAAAAATAAAAATAATGAGAATGAGAATAGCAAAAATAATAATAATAATAATAATAATTAATAAATCTTAAAACCAGTCGAATCACAGTATTATCGTTAATATTTTTTTTCAAACATTTTTTTAATACACATTTTTAACTTCTTTTAATTTTCTCTCTCACTCTCCGAATTTTTCATAAAATGGTAAACATTATTTTTATTGTGCATCAAAATTTGTACGAAAACGGTTGTGGTATTTAAGGATTTTCACCAGTTATTTAATTGGCGAGTGGACGCTTTTCAATAATAGATTACGCCTAAAAACAAAAGATTAGTTTGACAACACTTTGTGTTTATCACTCAATTTTATTCACTTTTTATGCTGAAAAAAGATTATTTTAGTATGATCGAAAATTATCTATAGGTTACATAGTAGCGTCAATTTGATTCGTTCGATCAAATTTCTTATCACCATACCTTTTGTAGATGATTAGATATAGTCGTATTAAATATTTTATCGAAACGAGATTAATCAAATAATTATTAATAAATTTTACTATGTCGAATTTACATATACAATAAGTATTTTTCTATGCATATAATAGACGCAAATGTTTTAAAATAATTTGTTTATTATAACCAGCAGAAAACGAATTTGCAATTAGCATATTAATAAGCACATTTGCACATTTTTTACGAGATATTATTAAAAATCACGAGCAGAATGTTAAGCTTAATCGATTTGCATTCTGTAGTCACCAGTTAGTCATATTTTCTCCCATCCGGTTTTTTTTTGCATATTTTGTCATTTTTATTGAATATACCCCAACGAGTTGCAAAGTGCTCGGTGTATAAAATCCGACCCATGATTATGACAAATCACCAATAGCGGTTTTTCTATTTATACTGCAGGCGTAAACACGGGTTCTCATCCTCCGGGCGACCTATACAAACGTTATTAATATTATGACAGTGTGTAAAATATGTAACTCGTACATATAGGTAAAACGCGCATTTCGTGAGCTTTTCGCTAAACCGGCTATTACACATAATATGCAGTAAACAGAGTGTACAATTTTAGTATGATAAACGACGCATACGCATACAATTCTAAAAGCTATTTTGGAAAATCTCCGCTGATCGAATGTATAAAACGGTTCACGTGCGCGTTTATAGTTTCACAACGCAGTATAGGTATAATAATATTATCGTTGTATGAGGGCAAGGATTCGGTAAAATTGCCCGAGGAAACAACGGCTAACGAACAAATATATCATTTTATGATAAAGAATTTTAAATTGCTTACCTGAACAAGATACATTATACAGAGTGATCCATACCGATTTATAAATTGTTCGTTTTCGTTTTCAGATATCTCGACAATTATACAGTACTATTTATTATTTTAATTTCTATTGAAACCTAAAAAGTAGAGAATTACTCACTAAATTACGTAGTAGGTACAGTTTGTTTTTAGTGACTTCATATAGTTTAGTAACTTAATCATTTGTAACTACCTATTTATATAGTTATAATTTAATTTAGGAACTGAAACACTCTGTACACAGATACTAAAAATAATAACAATAATATTACCTATAGTTACTATTTATAAGGCTTTTATTTAACCATTAGTTCATATCAATTTTTTAAATATTATTTCTTATACTATTTTACAAATATTTTTAATCATTGAACATTTTATCGATAGATTCGCCGTATTATATGCGCGCAATCAACTGCGTTAGCCTTGATGATTGTTATGTACCTACCAAAAATAGAGTAGACATAAATATATTATATGCATAAACTTTAGTAAAAAATCATTTTTTTTAGTGAGTTTTTCATTTTTTTTTTTTCGGTGATAATTAGTGTGCCGGACGAACCGTGCAAGGTCGTGCCCGACTTTATCGATTGTGCGCGCTCGAAATTTACGCGACTGCGAGGCATCACTAGAATTCAGAGAGGGCGTTTGACGCGACTACGTGATCAAAATTCCGTATTTCGATATTATTATTTGGGTTTTATTTGTACTCGGGAGGAAGACAAAAATAAAAATAAAAACCGTAAACTTACACGGGCTACATAGCTCGAGCGAATATTACGAAATTATTTTATACATACCGATATAGGTACCTTCTACGTGATGAATAATACGTCTATAGTAAGTAGAAAGACAAGACAGACAGATAAAATAAAAATACAGGTAGATAAGAAGACAAAACAAATATAAATCTAATATAATATAGTGTTTTCCTCCATAAAAAATAAAGAATATATATATATATTATACATAAATGTTAGTGTTTGACACTAAACCTTAGAAATAATAGTGAAGGAAGGGTAATACAATAGTCGGTCTGTTAACTTATGCTAATGATATATTGCTTCTTGCAGAAAATGAAGAGATAACATAGATAAAGTCTAATAAAGGCAGAGAAGTAAATTGAGTTAAAAATAAACAAGAGGAAACAGAATATATGATTATTCAATGACTATTTAAAGCAGATGATGCGCACAAAATTTGAAAGTTAGCTAGTACTTATATAAACTATAAATTTAATAATACAGGAATTCATATACCTAGAATTGCGTATTATATAGAAAAACGAGATTTAGATTGAAATATGAGTAAGGACACAAGAAATAAAGATATGTTATTAGGAACTAAACAAGACACTAAGGTCAAAAATGCTATCTAAAAGTCTGAATCTGAAGATCCAACTCGATCAAATCCTATTACGGTCTATGGAGGACTCAAATAAACAATTGATGAAATAAAGGAAAATAATCTACTAATACTAGGGATAAGAATTTTGAAAAAAAATATTTTTTTCCTTACTTGGACATTAACACCAAAAAATAAAGAATATGAAACACCATAGAAATTAAGGAACAACTATTAAGGATATTGATTCTAGCATACAGTGAGTGAAATTAAAAAAAATTTAGGCTGGCCATGTCTGGCGTAATCAATGTTAAATCCAGATATACTTCAAATGGCCAAATACCACCCTTGGAATGTCATTCACCCTCCCTGACAAGTAAAATTGTTAACAAATTGTATTTATTAAATATCCGTTAAATTTTACATAGAAATGACCAGAGCTCAGATTTTATAACACTGAAAATAACTGAAATATGCGCTATAAATAATAATATGACCTAAAAATCCTTAAAATAAGCACTACAATATGCCATAAAACATAAAAAAAAATAGCAAGAAAGAAAATTCATATGCATTTTTTTTTCTGTTAACAATTTTATATAAATTGAACACATACAACAGAATATATTTCAGGAAAAAAAAATAAAATACTATCAATAAGAAGTTTTAAATGTGCCTATACGGTTTGGTAAACCAGTAGTACGCTGGGCTACTAGAAAAAAATAATTAAGTAGTAATACATAGCATCAAAACTTGAAAAATAGCACTAAACATCAAAAATATTTGAAATACGCAAAAAAAAGCAATATAAAGTTTCATATTTGGAATTCCTGGTATTTTCTAGGATTCCTACAATTTTTCAAAAAAAAATAAATATATAAAATAATAACATTATGCAACGACGTATCAAATGAATAATAATTAAAAAGAAATGCGTTTTTTTAATTATTACTCCAGACTTTCAAAGTAGATATTAGCTATTCTAGAAATGTTGATTTTTTTCTCTTCGGGCGCACGGATTTTCAAACGAAAATTATAAACCTCGTATGCGGTAGATGAATAACGATTTGTTTTGAGGACCTGAGTACAGGATTTTACAAAGGATAGGATGGAATTTTAAATATACGTTCAGAAACCCGAACATCCTTCCGTCAAGGGTAAAAAACAGTATTAAATATATATATATATATACAACATATTAGGTTTAAGTATAACATACCTAAGCCGTAATAGCTATAATTATTTAGTATAGTCCATATATTAGGGATTTACCTTTAAATTCTACATTCCCGTAAATAGGCCTAAAAATGCAGCAGTTAAAAACTACCTCTCGTATTTATGGGTTTTCATATAAGCAATTATCTCGACATTTATGGAAAAAAACCATTTTATCAACTCAAAAATGTTCAATTTCACTTAAAAATACACTTACGAATAATTCCGTATCATTATCACAAGTATTTGTTGTGTTATAATAAAATGAACAAAAATGTTTGCAAAAAACCGTTTCGCGAGGGTAAAAACTACTTGGGTAAATATAGGATAACTAAAGAATTTTTTTTTTTAACCATATTAGAGACATAGTTAAAAAATTTAATTTCCACCAAAAAAACAAAGCAAACTTCAACTGTGAAATTTCGGTTTAAATTTTTCGATATCACTGTTACAAAATAAATTATTCGAGTTTGAAAAACTTAGATAATTAAATTTTCAAACAATGCATTTAAAAAAAGTTATGACTTTCTTTATATTTTTAGTATAAAATAAAATAAAACCAACGGTGCACATTAGAAGTATTCCTTTTGTTAGGTTGTATTTTTTGACGAAATCTATAGCCCGAATAGTACTTTTTTTGGGCAAAGATGTTTTTACAATCGAATCATGGGTGGTAACAAACCTTATCGTATTAGATATAATTATCATCGACTATACTTGGTGATTTTTGATGATCAAAAATGGTTTAACCAAGTAGTGAACAAAAAGCGACGGTGGAGGAGGAGAAAATCAATTTTAAAACAAAAATCGAGTATATTATACTGTTAGCGAAATCTGGACCAAAATATAAATACTGCGGTGGCTGCGTTTTTTGCAAGCATATTATAATATTGCAATATAGTAAAGGAATCCCTGAAGCATTATTTGTTCCGTCCCTTTACTATATCTCGTCTGGGGTTTAGAGGATTTCGAACGTACGGTCCCCCGAATTTATATTAGGTATAAGCCACGAGGGAATACACTATCATTATTATAACTGTATGACGACGATACGAAGAACTTCAGCGGGCGCGTGACATTTCGGTTGTCGTTTTGAATTTATTTTCTATAATATATTACAGTGTTTCCGATGTGAAAATACAACCATTAACCACCAGTACGTATAAAAATCGTTAACTAGCTATTAATCAATCTTGCAAATAAACAAGGTTATGGTTGTTCAGGTCGTTTAATTTTCCCTTTGTACTTAAATTAACCCATCAAAAATCAACAAAAAAGAAACCTATGTAAAATAGTTATAAGTAGGGTGCTAATTTATACGTATTTAAAATTCAAAAAGATGTATGACATGTATGTGTATTTATTTTCACACGTAGATGGGTCACTGTTGTAGATGAGAAACTAAAAGGTAGAGGGGAAATTGAATGTATATATGTACGCAACGATTAACCGTTGCTAACGAAAAACGATTCTGAGCGGAATTCAGTTCATAGTGTTGCTTTGTCAACAATATATAATGTGTCATATTATAGTAAAATAATTACATATGCATTATATATTTTTTTTTTTTAATAATATTTATTAATATTGTACTTATTTTCCCGTTTTCCTCCTTTTTCCTGGTTTTTTTCCATTTGTTGGGAAAACTCCTAGGAAAATCAAAATATGACCTCTCTAAAGTACCACCCCAGTTAGATATCCTTTCAGAAAAAAATTCATCATTGTAAATCGGAGCAAAATCGCGTGTAGAAAAGTTGTTCACAGATAAAAATAAAAAATAAAAATAATATATTCCTCGCTTTGCTCAGAATCTAAAATAGGTACACACAAACATACATAGAAGTATAAAATTAATAGGTAATACAAAATAATATACAGCAGATTATTATAATTAAATTATACATTCAAATTACACATATTTATTCATTTGAGTATAGGATCATCGTCGTCAACAAAACAATGAGCAATCATGTACTTTTTGTGTTTTCAAAAATTAATTGAAATCGATCGGAATACGTTTTTGTAGCAATTAAATGGCCTTTTTACTTCTATAGAAATTATAGGAGCAAATTTAAAAGTTCTTAATTCATTAATACTGAACTCAAAACAAGTTTATGGATTCTTGTCGTTGTGAATGTTTGCAATAGTTTCAATTGTCTTTAAACCGAGGTATTTACTTAGTACTTTTTCAACTTTTTTCTTGGTTTTTTTGTCGTGGGTTCTTTAAATTAATTTACCGTATCATAGATATACCCAGGCTAATAACCTACAGGTACACGTTTTAAGATTCAAGATTCGTAATAGAATTGGTAAGGAATGTAGTATTGGAGGATATGTACACTAAATTATTTATTAAAAATTTAGCATTTTCTATTGACATGGGGTTTATTTCAAGTTTTTAAATCGAATCTTCAATGACACTAAAATGTTTGCAGTACAAAGAAGCAAATAATACATAATATAAAACAGAGATACACCATTAATTTTTTTAAAATTGCTGTATTTAACAAAACATGTAAATATATGTAAGTACAAATATATAATAGGGCTGGAAGTGGTTAAAGCTACTAAAAAAAGAGATTTAATGAATTTAATTTAAATGTAATCATAAAAGTGACTAAAAAGTAATCTATAGTATGTTACCTAACAGTATAATGTTAAACAGCACTAAATTTTTAATTTTTTTCTATCTCAAGTTTTTCAATGCCAAAAGAAACCACAATTAACATTAGGCCATCATGCTTTTTATTTCTAATTTTGTATTGTGAATCAGTTGTGTCCCACAATAACCTTCAATCACGTATATAATCACAATACATTTCAATAAAAGATACAGTTTAGTGCATTTTGTAACCGTCCATTTCGAGATTTTCGTACCGTTATAAACATGGTCAGTTACACGTACCGGTTTATTCTTATTTTCGTATCCATCTCGGTGATATTTTAATTTGTTTAAGATAATAATCAGTAATCCTGTAGCATTAAAATAATGACGAATTTTTATTTTGGAATAGAACAAAATTACAAACGCACTTATTTATGAACATGTAGGGACTACCAAATAATAACAAATAATTCTCATTTAGACAAACATGAATATTAAGTGATTTGAGTGACTTATTTTCAAAATAAGTGATTAAAAATGACTCAATTCAAAAAGAGTGACTTTTAGTAAAAGAAAATTGTTGTGATATTAACCGTAATTTAAAATAATTCGATTATTATTATATTCACGACAAATATGTAAATATTTATGAATCCGCACCCTAGTAACACACAACATAAAAAACCTGAACTTTCAAATAACCATAAATTACTAAAAAATAAATATTTTAACGTTTAACATTAGCACTGGGTAAAAATTACAAGTTTAATGAAACTTGATTAACGAATCACGAAAAATCCAAGAAAATTAAAAAACCTACTTCCCCCTCAACAAACAAACTATGTATGAGATTTTTAATCTGGTTGCTCTAATCGAAAACTTGTTCGGATAGGAAAAAAACGTAACACGTATTATTGGGAAATAAAAATATTGTAAATCTATGCATGATAGTGCGAGTGGGTAATTTTAAGCGGAATATAAAACTGCGACGAAACAATCCGTTGGGAAAACGAGGTACTCGCGCGTCAAATGGTTTTTTTCACAAGGATTTTCCTAACACTTTACCTAACCTAACACGCGTGCAGAACGGGTCCGTGCGAAAAATACGAATTGCCCTTTTAAAGAGTAAAACAAAAAAAAAAAATACTATAGCAATTTAAATTATATATAATATATTGTACGTGCCAAAGTTTTAACAATAATTTTTAAATTGTATACAAAATAAATATACATAAAACTATAGTGAAAACCAACTTAGGTACACGTAGTTTATTAATACGAGACGTGCATTTTAAATACGCTTTTTTAGGGGAGAAAAAAAACGTTCGTCAAAACTTCATTATAAAGAACGTTAAAAACTCGACCAAGAAAATACTCGCGACCTATTTCTATAGAAATTACGATAATATGATCCAGAATAGACGTTAAAACATGGACAGTTTAATTTTTACGGGTCACGAAGTTCGATATGAAAACCGAAATGACGTATGTTATCACACAACATTTAATAGCTCCAGTACCCCATGCAGAACAAACTTTATGTAAATTACAATATATTGTTAACGCGACGAATTCGCAGTAAAAACCGAGTAATATTTTGGTTCTGAGCGAAGAGTGTATTGGTTTTACAACGATATTTATTTTATTATTATTTTTATTTTTTATTTTCATATTGTATACAAAAATTCTACCAGAAATCTCGCTCCGATGTATCAAGTGTTTTTTTTTTCAATTTTTCTGAAAGAAAATTTTATCTAGTATTGGTACATGAATAAAATCATTTTTGATTTTCTAAACGGTTTTCATAATAATTGAGAAAACCGGGAAAATACAGGAAAATTTACGAAAATAATACTTTTTTCAATTTTTTTTTTTTTTTTTTGTAATTTATTTTAAAATATTCGTAAAAACATTCGACCCATTTTTGAGCTATTTAAAGACATTTTAATTTAGCAAATTATTTTTAATTTTTTTTCGGTAAATATTCTGCGAATAAAATTTTTAGATCAAATAGAAATGCTTGAAACTTTAACAGGAGGCTCTTTATAAGTTGTATTTAGTAGTGAACAAGAAAAAATTTGAGTTTAATGCAGTATTTTTTTTTTTATATAAAACTTTTAATATCAAATTTTGATAAAAACCGTAAATATTAATAATATAAAAATTTGACCATAAACCTTTCTCAGATATATATGCGCGGTATCATTTCTGAAAGGGAATGTAGTCCAAATGGTACTTTTGGGAGGTCATTTTTTGATTTTCCAGGCGGTTTTCATAATATCTGAGAAAAACCAGGATAAAACGTAAGAAAAACGAGAAATGTACGATATTAATGCTTTTATTATTTTATCAATTTTGATATTTGTTGTAATTCGGTTAAAAATATTCGTAGAGACTTGAAATTTGAACAGAAAACATTTTTTTTCCGTATACAACTTTTCTACCAGCAATTTTGTTCCGATTTACGATGATAATACTTTTTCTGAAAATAAATCTGATTGGGCAAGTACTTTAAGGAGGTCATTTTTCGATTTATCCAAGTTTTTTCCTAGCAAATGTGATGATCCAGGAAAAAACATGGGAAAACCGGTAAAAACGCAGAAAAAATGGGAAAATCGATACAATATTAAACAAAATATATAATGCCTTTTTAATTATTTTACCATAGTATGACATATATATATATATATTGTTGACAAAGCAACACTATCAACTGAACTGTGCTCAGAATCGTTTTTTCCTAAGCAATGGTTTATCGTTGGTTACAGATATACGTTAAATTACCTATAACAGTGGCTGCATACGCTCCATTATCCTAGGACGTCTTTTTTTTTCTTTCTTTATAAACAGTTTAAATACCACAAGTTTTCTCGTGACTTGTCTGTGTTATTCGCACAGACTCCGCAAGTGTACTAAAATCGATAGTCATACACACTAGTTTTATATATATATATATATGTATGGTAAGTAATACAGGGTGCTCGAGCTACAGAGACGTACTGAATTAATACTTGCAGTTACGTTCCTATATTAAAATAAAAAATAAAAATTATAAAATAATACTAAAATCATATCGTATTCCTGGGAATTAGTCCGTTTGTGTCCTGCAGTTAGTTTTACACATTAAGTAGGTAAATACCTAACACAGCTCGTTTAATGTACCTAATCAAGAGTTGGATAAACCCCTTTTCTCCTTTAAAAGTCAGTTGGATTATAAGTTTCGGAAAAACTTGAATCTAATTATTGAGTAACCGCAATGTATACACAAAACTATATTATGACAAACGTGACAACGGCTAATGATTTAGACGTCAGAAAGTGAAGTATATACCATATTAATCCGCTGAACAAATTATTAACTTAAACTTTTAAAACAAGTAAAATAACTGTTTCGTATTTAAGAGCTTAATTCTGGAAATCTTCGCTTATAACACACACAAAATTCAAGTTTTTCGCCGTCGAAAAGGAGCGTCAGCCGATTGCCTATAATAAAATACTGTAAACTACTAATAAAATGTCGGTTAGTTTTTAAAATGCATTATAATGCACATGTTTGATAAAAATATGTCGTGAAGTCGATGGGCTTGATTATAAATACAAAAACAATTTCAATATAATAATATGCAAGTAGTAATTAATATACGATTACGTCAATGGGTTTTTCTTTTCAGATATGGGCGGTACGTACTCGACCGGAGGCGTGTTCGTGGTCAAGGAGAAGGAAAAGGGATCGTCGTCAAATAACAATAAGCAGCGTCGACGACGTAAAAACAACGAAAATTTGAAGAAACCAGGCCAAGACGAACGATTTGAGTGAGTAAACCTCTAACGTACACTTACTTAAAAAAACGCGGTATTATTTTTTAGTCTTAGAACTTTAGAACTTTTTAGTCAAGAAAAGAAAAACAAAAAAAAAAATCAACTAACCACATTTGTCCCTTTTTCTTGTCTCAAAATACCGTACAAATAACGGGGATGTAGCGAGGCATATGTAATATGTTTTACCCACATCAGCATCTATTGTGCTCGTATATTTATGTTTATCTTACATTGAGTGTTAACACAGCTCATCTAACATTTGTTCAGATAAACCGTTATATTAATTATCACCACTATAGAGTACGCATTTAAATAGTCTACAGAACTGTGAAAAAATGCACTTTAAAACAATGACGACATTTTTATAAAATCAATAAAAAATTCCAGACCTACTTGGTACTATACGGCCTTGTAGTATTAGAATGTTGGTAAGCTGGTAAGTTGGAGTAATTTATTTTTTATAATATACTGAAAGTGTTATAACGATAAATCATTGCCACATTGACAGCAGTTTAAGTAAATTTTTTACATAGTATAAATCAAAAGGAAACTTTGAAAAAAAAATATATGCATACACAAACTCCCAAAGCCAAACGTGATAGCGCCATATCGTATATATAAATTTAAATTTGAAAGTCCGTCCACCTTAAGTTAAAAATTGTAGATATCTGCTTGCCGTATAGATTTTGTACAAAACAAATATTATTAGGATACGAATTAACAATATTCCTGTTGTTTTGTAATTTTTTATCAACAGAATAGTAGACATTTTAAAAAAAATACCTCACCAACTAACTTTTCTAATAGCGTACCTATACTGTTTGGAACACATTATACCTATATGGGAAATAATAAACGAGTATCATTTTTTTATTATTATTTTTTTAGTCATTAAAACGAGACGACTAAGCGAGCGTGTATTATAAAAAGAAGACGACGTATAGGTAAATAATTGTGTAACAAAATGATGAGACTCGATGGAATAGGAATAGGTGAAACGAGAGAGAAAATGACGTGTGTCCTCGTTAACTGCAGAGCGCGTCGTCCTAAAATTATCAGCGAGTTTTGCTTGTAGGCCAGTGCTATAAACGCCCATTATCAATCGCAAAATATACTTTACACAATAAAATAATACACCAGTAGGTACAATATTAAAAAAGAAAATAATTTAAAACACGACTTAGTGGCCGGCCATCACTATTCGATTGTTTTTCATTTGTCAGCATGTGATTACAATAATACAAATTATTATGTACATTAATGGAGTGTACATATACTACGTATACTACTTATAGATACCTAACCGTAGTGAAAGGTCGTGAACTTTGTAACGCAACATTCTAAACGTCCAAATGGACCGAATAAAGTTGTCGGTATATATGTCTAGTAGTTTATTTTTTTTTTTTACTCAATATTTTCGAATACCAGCTACAATTTATTTTTAAATAATTCTACAATATTATTTAAAGTACACCTTTTCTTTTTTTTTTTTTTTTTTTATGGTAAATAATCTAGTGAAATTATTATTTTTAACTCAATAAATTCGTGATACGACATGAATTTAAAAATTTCCCTACAGTAATAAAAATAAAAAAAATACTATTTGAAAGTTGTCGCAATATTTAACTATATACATAATATAGAGTACAATATAAGTTTATTTCAAAATAAAAATTCTAACAAACTTTTTGTTTATAAACCGCAAACAAAATTTTTGGAATGTGTCAACTGTGAAGTTCACGGGGGTATATGAGGTCATGTTTAAATATATGATAATTTATACTATATTTTTTTTATAAAACACGATTAGCAATGACGTATAAAGACGAAAAATGACAACAGACACAGGAATCGATTGATTTATTATTTACACTATATCGAAATAAAATAATTACAGTTTTAAAACGTCCGAAAGTCGTCGTCGTCGGCGAAGGCAACGATTATACCACAAAGCGATCAATGGCTTTTTTTGTCAATATAATATAAAAGATACATTTTCACATACAATATAATAATGCTATATATCTACCACGTTTATATGCAATCGTTAATACGGATTAATTCAATACGCATTGAATAATCTTAGTACGTATTAGTGTACGGGTTCATATACATTTCAAATATTACGATTTAACTAATAAAAATATCTAATAATAATGGTATAAAATATATGAATAATATATAATATACAATTTGATATTTAATTACACCTAAAAATATTAGTAACCGTTTATATTAATTTCTGTTAATATTATTTTTAAGTTATATTATATATATATATTTGATTTTAGTTATTTTACCTAACCTAAACTAACCATCATTATGAACGCATGTCATTAATTATAGACCTACTATAAAATGATTAACAGGACTTATTCCGTTTAAATTAAATAAATAAATACCAGAATAAACTTTGTACAACTAAGCATTAAGGTAATGAGTACTTAACGTACGTTTATAAACAAATTTAACTAAATACGAATTCGGTTAATGCACACTAGTGTAGGACTCCGTATAAAAGTGGTAATAGTAAACGAGTATAAATTATTTTACCAAAAAAAAAAAAAAAAAAACAAACCGTTTTAATATGAAGCGGTCTAACGTTTTTTATTCTGTGTACACAATTGTTGTTCACAATATGTAGCGCACAAAGATGTAAAACTTGACTATAATATTGTTTTTGATGAATCATTATATAATATCGTATTATAAATAATATGTACCATTGTAAAAACATAATTTATTCGGTACAACAAAAAAGTCGAAATGTTCAAAAAACCCAACAATATATTGTTAAACATTCGAGTGTAATATAAAAGTTTTTTTTTTTGAAAATCACTATCGTATTCTTTTATATTTATTATACAAGCGTAACTTAATAACCCCTCACCGTTATTGTCGGAGAATTGATTTATTATTATTAGAAAATATAAAATGTGCCAAAAATCGAAAACATAAATTAAGCGAGATTTGTATGGAAAATTGTTGAATGCGTGCAGTTGTAGTGTTTTTCGGACTGCGCTTTGAAATATTATTTTCATATACAGGTATAACGCAAACACGCCGCCGCTGCATTTCTACTCGTATTCTTGGCTAATATGTAACAAATAATAAGGCAAATGACGTTGTTATTTGCAGCGCAACTGTGTGTACTTACATATCCGACAAGAGCAAAAAAAAAACGTTTCCCGCAAACGAAGAAATATTCCCCGATCACAAAAACACGTGCAATCATAATAATTTAGCCTTCCCGTAAACACGCCAAAAACACATTTCGTTGCATAGTCTGATAAATATGCTGCAACAGCAGCAACAACATAATTGGACAACTAATTAAAAAAACGTTTAATTGGACGGTAAATTTATAAGAGCAAGAGCAAGAGAGAGAAAGAAACAGAAATAAGAAAAGGGAAAAGTTAATAACGTTCGCGAGGCGGTTTTCGGAAAAATTTACATAATTCAGAAATTTGATAGACTCGTTTATCATTTTTTATAACGCTAGTTATACACCTATAAAGCTCGTTATTTTTTAACATTTTTATAATATTATAATATTTATTAAAATCATCGCAGAAAATCTTATACATTTTATTTTAGTTTAAAATACAGAGTAATAAGAGAGATAATATAAGAGATCAGAATCTTAAAAATCATAATTTTTTTCTTCGAATCTATGAATTAGTTAAACAATTAATGTTTTTCTCCACTCGTCTTTGTCACATATAGTTATTTTAAACTGTGAATAATATGTTTTTATTCTTGTCTTTCCTCACGGGCTTCAGATCGTCATCGTCGTCCTTGGTCTTTACCTTCCTACATTTCTATCAATTTTACCTTCTTCCTTTATTGTTCTCGTTGTCCAAGCGTTATTGCTTACCAATCCACTTCTTTCTCCTTTTCCTAAACGTTTTCTATACATTTATTTCAGCTTGTTTTATTTACAAAAATCTTCCTCCTTCATTATTCGTTCTGTTCATGAGATTCTCAGAGCTCTATTCCAACACCACATTTTAAAGGCTTCAGTTTTGGCTTTCTCGGTTTGTCCACGGTTAGCAACTTCGTTGCGATGAAATACTCCACACCAAGATATTAAAGAGAGGTGTCTAAACTTATCACCTGAATAGTGAAGAGATTTTTATTTTTATAGAAAACCCTATATTAATTTGCATATGGTATCATTTAATTGTGTCGTTCATTTCTTCTAGCATATTGTAGTTCAGGGTTTCTGACCTCCTGGTATCGATTTCCGATTTAAATGGACATATGTATCAATAGATTCCGCTCGTACAACGGTATACAGCACTATTTATGAAAAAGGGAAACTTGTTGAGATTTTTCAATATTTCGTCATATTGCATATATGATATTATAGGTACATATGTTTTCATACACGTCACGATAGTCCGATAGGTCGCCGTCACAGAAACACGATAATGTATTAGGTAGGCTTTTTTTTTAGCGATGTTTGCGGAAACCGTCTCTGGAGCGTGATGAATAAATTTCGATGTACGGGACACGGCGGCATAGTATTATAATAACCAATTGTGTTTGAAATTTGAATAAACGGCGCACTTCCTATTTAATAATACGAATGTATATATTATTACATTGTACCTACCGGACATTTTCAGATACCGAAAGAGCAATAATAACGAATGTAAAAACAAAAAAACAACGAGCAAAAACCTAATTAAACACGAATTGCGTTGTTTCAAGTAGGCACCACGCATATCATCGAGAATTTTCGGCAATATCCGTACAAGAGCAAGGACAACAAACTTCGGTAATAATAAACCGTCCGAATCGTATCCCTGCGGGCATATTGCACGTATATCATAAAATAGCTAGGTGTGTATACATATATAGTATATAATATACAGTAATAGCAATTATGTGAGTGTGATAACGGCGGCTGCTTTGAACGGTTACCCAGATTATGACGATAGTAATAATAATAATCTGTATACACGATTATAAACGCAAAAGATAATGCGAGACTATACGTTAAATCGGATCCCCCGACGGATTTCGGGAGTTTCCTGAATGGAATCTGCAGGGAATGTAATAAACATACCGTATACTATATTATTTTATAGCACACTCCGGAACGCGTCGCCCGCGAATTCAAATTTTGCAAAATCCAAGCCAAATTTTCGATATTCCGTGATATTTCAACACGTGAACTCATTCCTCTCCCACCCCCTCATCCACGTATATGGAAATATCGATCAATTGTAATGTAAAGTTAACTCTGAAAACGATGTGAATGATACGATCGGTGGAACGAAATTTGTTTTTAGATTATCATCGGTTTGATTGTTACATATTAGATTCTGAGTGTTCAACGAAAAAGCTATATACAGTTTTACTAATAAGTTTTTTTTTCTCGTAAAAAACTTTTTTCTATTTTTAAAAATGAATTGATTTTTTCACGCAGCATCTTTTACGATGCGGATTTTTTGCCCGCTGATACTTTATTAGAACAATTTTTCTAGATTTCCAGTAATTTTCCCAAATAATCAACTGACAACAAACGACGGTATGCGTCGGTTTTTACCACGTGAACAATTATATGTTTAGATTTAATAATAATTGGATTTATCTGCCGTGGGCATTAAAATCCGAGCCCTCCGTATTTTGGCATTTTGAATTCCGATTTTTTAAACGATGATGATTATTACACTTAAACAACACAATAATAATTAAGTATTCTGGTGGGCCATCAATATACTCATATCGTCATACGAATGATAAATAAAAAATATTACTATGTTATTAATGGTCTGTGGCGACGATGTTTTATCCCTTCCTAGATTATTTCTTCCTTCGCGTACCACAACGTGCAACGTCGTCATATTTATTAATCTGCGAATAATATAATATGAAATACTGTATTATACAGTATTATAATGTACAGTCCGTAAATAATGAAACTAAGCAAATATTTATTACAATGCACTACAGTACAAAAAAAAATAATAATAAAACCTCTATAATTTAAATGCACAAGACAGCCGGTGGTGCTCTTAAGCGTTTACAGTTATTATACAGGGTGTGTGGCTATTTGTAATCACAAGCTAACAAACATTGAGCACATTTTCAGCATTTATTTTGTTATTTGTATCCTCAATATTTTTAGAAAAATACATATTATTATTTCTTCGAATACGAATATAAAAAAGTATAAATAAATATAAAAAAAGTATGGTATATGAAAATCAAAAGTTAATACAAGTCATAAACACATCAAATACTATTATATTGTATAAGTAATATGCAACGTAGAAATAGTTTTATACGGAATAAGACTAAAATGTCGAAAATATTATAATTTTAAGGTCAATAAACGATATAAACGATTTTAGCACATTAAAATAATATCTGAAAAGAAACTATAATCAAATTTACACAAAATCTCCGTAAATAATATTATTTTAATCGCCGGTCCGTGATAAAAAGATCGCCCTGTACTACTATAGGCTACAAAACAAAATGATATTAAAAATATATTATTCTTGGTGACGATGACGACGACGGGTAGACGGGGTGAAAAAGCAGACATCGCGTATACTAGATGAAACGGAAATGATAACAATAATGCAAATTTCTTTAATCGAATCGCACACGTCGTCGTTGACAGTTATAAAATACTCAATATACAAATACCATAATGCATTATGCAATTCAGTACACTGCAATGTATAGTGATTAAAAAAATATCCGGTGGGTAAGGTAGGTATCCGACCGGAAGGAAACGAAACTTTCGAACGGACAGACAGTCGCTAAAACGTCACTATACGCCGCATGATAATTATTATTCGCAACTATATATTAAGCAGTATAATATATTAGTAGTGCTTTAATTTTTTATTTACTTGGCTTTTATCGTTTTATTTTTCGGATTCGAAATTTCCCGCGATTGTACTAATACTGATAGCTTTATAAGCCGATAAAACAACGTTCTGCGATTTTTCGAATTTGTTCCAAAAACGGCCATTTTACGACAGATAAAACTTTTAGTGCCATTTATATATTTCTTCCGACAGTAACATTAAGAATACCTACTAAAATGAGATAAATAAAATTGACAACAATAAACCGCTTATAAACTTTTTAATACGCGTCGTATACTCGAATATATATATATATATAGTAACTGTATTTCAAAAAACTATGGGCGAGATATATTTTACATCGTCGTGGAAATTTAATTATAAATATAAGTGCAACAATAAATTATCAAAACAAATTATAAATCGGGTTCGTGTTTTAACTGGTCAGTGGTCACCTTTAACTGATTCAACAAAAAACAGACATTTTTTCTCCGGTGTATCCGAGGAAACACATTTGAAATCAACAATTAAAAACAATGCAAAAAGTTCAAAATTCAAATATGACCTCTAACTCCCATCATATACAAATTTAAATCAAACATGCAGAGAATCTGAAAATTGCTTCGAATAAATAAAAATGCCTAGGCGAAAATCCGCATCTTTTAATGGACGATGTGAAAGTTTTGGATGAAAAACCACAAATGTATAAAACGTATAAAGAAAATGCGAAACGCATTTAAAAAAAGAGTTTTCCCTCGCTCGATTTGTTATAGACTCGGTACGTAAAATAAACATATATATAGAGTGTATCATCTGCTGCAGGTTTTGACAATTGCGTATTCAATTACGGTTACAATTGTCAAACCATGCATATGCACTCTGTATATATAAGACATTATTGTGAAATAATTATTAAACAATTCTCACATGTGTTTCTATGATATATTTTGGTATTATTATACGGTTGTTCGTTTGCGCTGTGTAGGAATCTTCGTATAGTGTAATAAACAGCGTTCCGTCGAAAAAGTGAAACGAATCCTAACCTAAAAATACTATAATATATGTACATAATATACGTCATATTTCACGAAAACCGAAACCAAAATAACGTGATGTTTTATTTATACAAAATTGTAATAGCATTAAAATTGAACAATGAGTCCCGGAATCATACAGCAGCTGTATATAGTATACATTTTCGTTTCAAAGAGTTTCTGAAATAATATTTTTGTTTGTTTACTATATAATGCTCTTTGATTTATAATGTATCTGTTGACGAAAAAACAACGGAGACTTTTATGATGCAATCGAAAAATGTGAAAGGCTTAATGGACCAAAAGGAGGAGTATATTATAGAGCGAAATATATATTAAAAGAAAATATATAAAAACTTTTATGGAATAGTATGAAAATCAGAAGGGAAAAAATGGTTGGACATAGTGACGACAGTTTGACGAAAAGCATCATATTACAGAAAAAGGCAGACCGAAAAATGAGGTACAAAAATTAATTATTATAAACGTGTATAAGGAAATATGTGGAGATCTGGAACGAACCAATTGGATGATTGAAAACAAGAAGAGAATAAGATATTTCACTTTAAATTATAAATTTATAGTCTATTGGGTTTTTTTTTTATATATATAGTTCCGTTCATCAAATGAAAATATGACAACAAAAATTATATAACAAACACGCGTGCGAAATAAGAGAAAATTAGTTTTTTTTTTAAGTTTAAATATAAGGTACAGATAAATGGATTGTATAAAACCATTATTTCTAATATACGATACAAAAGCATTAGTATTTCGTTTTTAAACCGAAACTTTTAGTTTTTCTTTTTTTGTACTACACCGATACTGCACAACGTAAATCACGTCTGAAGAGTACCTACGGGCGAAAAACGTTATCTAATGTCGGGGAAAAAAATGTACCAACTATTATTCACCCCGAAGATAATCTCGCGAATAGTCTTTACCTGCAGTAATATCTGCGAAAGTTTTACGGATCGTCGGGGTTTTGGCTGTTTTCAGCACCGAAATATTCAAAAAACGTTCAGCGCGATATAAATAATTATGATGAGCTAATATATATCATGATTATCTTCTTTTTTTACATATATAAGTATACCATGTGCGATCCAACGATTATATCAACGAAATGTCGAGTAAAATTGATTTTGGATTGTTGCAGTCATTATATAGAGTCGTTTAGAGTTTTTACTTACAATATTTTCAACATTTTACCCTAATTTCACTACCATAAAAACACCGGAAAGGTAGGGAAGTGCTAAAAACAGATATAAAATGTATTTAAAATGTGTTACGCTTTTCCAGCGATACCAATGATGCATATCAACACATTTTCTTTTTTGAAAAATCATAGGTTTCTATATTAAAATGAAGAAAGAATACATATTTGAAAATATTGTTTGAACAAAGAATCCTTAATGAAAAAAAATTAATACATTTAAATTAAAATTCTTAGAAAAAACACTTGATCATATATTCATATGTGTTAAACATTGAGTATAGCAGAGTTCCATCACAATTAGATTCGAGTCTATTTTGTATTATAGAAAAAATTCTTTGTGAAATAATAACTAACCAAAACTACCTATACAATATAATACTCTACTGTAAAACAATAATACATATCTGCGTATAACTCATAAATGTATAACATAATTATTAAACTACGTTTAAAAAATTGGTGAAATTTGATCATAATAATGGTAGGGGTAAAAGTTTAAATCTCCAAAGGTCCAAGATACATCCTTGATATTATCCTCCTACATACACACAATTTCATCGACCTGGCTTCATTTGGAAGGTCTGTAGGGATGTTTAAACCTAAATAAACACTTTCCTCTCGCAACAATATGGTGAAATTCATATTTAAATTAAATCAAACTAGAATGCACCTATAAAACAACTCTAATTTTCGAGTTTGAGCTCATTTGATCCAGACAGAGCCGCTAAAATTGTTCAAAAGTAGTGGGAAAAAAAATCTATAACAGACACAATACAGCACAATAGTCTCTATTTTCTAGGAAAATTCAACAAAAAATCACTCTATGTCATACAGTTATTATTTTAAAAAAATATTCGTTTAATAAACATACATAAATATATATTGCGGTACTGTGTGGACGCAGTTTATATTGTTATTATTCTTGCAGCTACACGCGATACAAATTTATTCCCCGATAAAATAATTCGATCATCGCAACAAAAAAACAAATATTGGGATATCAGAATAATAAATACAATTTTCAACACGGACGACAAATTGAATTTCATCCAGGTTCCGGGCTCGTGTTGCCGTTATTGGATTTGAGAGCGCCGGGAATGTCAACGGAAATATTTACCGTAAAAAAAAAATACCGTATACAAACACGACTTACGCGATAGTCACGTGTCGTTCTCAGAGAGATCTCCCCCGGGACCGAAGACGATGACCATGAACCCAACATGAAGGTGCTCCGTGAAAATAGTATGTCATGTGTAAAATATTATATAGTTGAAATGTCCAAAATTCGGATTATAGCAAAAGAGCAAAAGCAAATGAGCGAACAAAAGTGTGAAGTAAAAAAAATGCATAAAATATTAGGGGCAATGGGCCGGCTCATGAATCGATACTCGATATCGGTAGTACCGGTATTAAATTCAGAAAAAAAATCAAACAATAAATAATTATACCACATCACAACAAAACGTATAAAATAACGTATACATACACGATTGTTTATTGATAAGACTGATGACATATTATTGGTATGATATTTTGCTATCATCTTATTAGTTATTACCATCACTAATATCAATATAATCTAGTGTAAATAAAAATTAATAATATCAGCCGGATATTGGTTTGGAAAAATATTATTATTTTTATATATAAATAATAATATTCGGAACATCGAATACCAATAAAAAATGGTATCGACCCGTCCCTATAAATATATTATTACGACCAACGTATAGTATTACCATTGTGTTTGCTTATAAAATTCAACGAATTCAATATGATCCAATGTAAATAAAACGAATTAATGAATTTATAAATTGTAATGAATTGCAATTGCCATCATGATAAGTGATAGTAATATATACGACCCATCTTAAATATTCCAATATTGCAGGTGTTGTATTTTGCACATCATAATACAAAGGCCGTAAGTAATATTTTGCTGAACCCTTGTAAACTTTCTCGAGGTTGAAGTTTAATGTTGGCCACCAATAATTATTTGAACCATTTATGTATGTACGCCAACGTTTGTTTTTTTTTTTTTTGTTTTTTTTTTTGAGAATCGTGTTATTATAATGGAAAAAAAGAACGGACATACTTCACATGTGGGTGCAGCTTTTTTTTTTTAAATCTTCGTACAGCCCTCTAACATATTTTTCTGTTTTGTTAATTTTGTGTTTGAACACTTGCGATTTCCACCTAAACGCCGCAGTTTATATTCTAAAATATCGTAATATTCTGCCGTGTAGCCCGTTATAATTGGATTCGGACGCGAGCATTGCATCCTCTTAAAATTCTAAAAATAGCGTTCTTCGTGTGTATAATTTTTACATTTTCACGTATAGCGAGACCGACAATTATACGCAATTTTTACGCGCGCCACCGTTCTGGTCTGTATCGTGAATCGCGATTAAAGGTGAGTAGCGCTCGGAATAAAATAAATTGTCCGAGACGATAGGTAGAGCGGTATGTGTCAAACATATAGGTATAATACGTATAGGTACGCCGACAAAAATTGCACTGCAGTCCATATATACTCTATGTCTCTGCCGACGGATTTTGTCGTGTCAAACTCGAGGCCCTCGTTTTTATTATTATTATTATTATGCTGCCGTATTGTATTTATTATTATTATTATTATTATTATTGCGCGTAGTCTACTTCGTTTGGTCTGGCGAAAAAATAACAATATCATATCGTCTAGCCGTCGTCTGGAAGAAAAAACTAACCTAATTTTTGTTTTTCTCGTATAACAAGGTCGTGAATTAAAAACATAATTATAAAATCGTGTATGGAATTATAATCCGTACACAAACCGAGCCGAAACTTACTATATTCCACGCGTATTGTCTTTGCAAATCAATATTATTCCGAATCTTTTGATCGGCGAATTACAGCACGATCAAATTAAATAAATATATATATATATATATATATATATTTGGATAGGCCACTGTGATTGTAATTACCGTGAAAATCTAATTTTGGCCAAAAAGAAAAATATTCACTTATAATGTATATAATATTACAAACATTCTACAGATATGTTTAAAAAAAAATTGGGATTATTGACATTTTTTAACGATTACGCTCCCGTCCCGTTTGTGTTCGAAATTTCATTTCTGTTCGCTGTATAGATTTCGTTGTCCGGTGTAACGGTCATGTTTGTTGACATCTCAATATTGCAGGGAATCTATAGAAAAACGTTCGAAATAACGTACTGTTGCCGGATCGTAAGACGGTGCGCGAAAGTTTTCGTACTTATTTTCACTGACCGAATAAAACGGTCACGGACGTGGGAAAAAAATGTTTTTAAATTTCTAAAAAATATAACATATTTCGAAAAGGAACACGACGCGTTCCGCGGTACAGACGCGATATCAATGGAGGGGAGGGCTCCAGAGGCGGTAGGTAAACACGTCAAAACACTCTTCGGCGGCCGTTAATTATATTATAAACAGTACGCGCTTGTGTATTACCGGTGCAGCGACATAACAACAATAATGACGATAGTAAAATTAACGCTACGCGCGCAACAAACACGCGGCAGACACAGCTGGAGCTCGCGGTCATCCGACCGGAACGAAAGGCTGCAGCACGCGACGTCGGAGGGGTAAAAACTCGTAGGGTGTAGGCAAGCAACATGGCGCGTACATTACACCGGCGAAAACAAACGCGGGTGTACGTCGATATCGGGCCATGACAACGGTGCCCGCCACCGCTAGCCACGAACCGTTTTCTCGGCCTGTCCAAACGGATATAATATATCGAATAATAACACATTTTGTCATCACGACAATCGTCACTAATACAAGCGGCGGCGCGTCCAGAAATTTTCAACGGGAGGGGATGTGAAAAATAAGAACCGTAAAACCGTCTTCTCTGTACCCGACTCAACTTTATGTGAGAATTCGTAATTTAAAAGCCGAATCCTGAAAAAAAAAAAAAACGAAATCAACACATCAAACTTTTCTTCGCGACTTGGCTGAAACATATGCGTTTCGATATCAAATCGCTTATTCTTTGTTGCATTTTTATGCCACTGAATATAAGCCATCTTACCCGTTGACCACTATATGTATAGAGAGTGAACGGAGATTCGGTCAACCGAAGATATATAACATTAGATATTTCCCGAATCGTTGAACGATTAATTCGTGTATTATTATTTTGACGTGGATGTAGCGAAGCAATTATATTTTCTGGAGACAACAGCCCAAGTTGGTACACCAATTCTGGATTTTCGTAGTTTACGTTTTGTCCGTTAACAAATGATTTTCTCTTCCCCGTGTCTATTTGGGAAACGATTTGCTCTTCGAGTTTCGCCTTTAAATACGCAACGGAATCTTTTTTGAGACGTCCGCTGAGTAAGTATAATTTTTCCAACAATCACGCCCCACCGAAACCCGTCTGCGGTTAATTTGGCGGACAACGAGACGGCGGCGATGTCGTTCCAGTGTACGACAATAATATACGTTACACAATAATAATAATAATATTATCGCGACCGGTGGCGGTGGTAAACCAACTCGGTGCACGCACGCACGCACCACACACGTGCACGCACTACTTCACCCGGCGCTACACCGTGTGGCGATCGAGTGTAGGTAAGTACTCTGTGTACAGTACTCACGAAGCCCGCACGCTTTACGCGCGTACATAAAAATTGTTATTACCACAATTACGTGCTGTTGTTGTTGTCGTCGACTTCGCGCCGCCGTCACGTCTCCGGACAGTTTTCACAGAGTGATCCGCCGGCCGCCAAAGTTGAAGTCACCCGCACGAGTACCGGAGTTTCCCGCACCGAGCAAACGGTGAGTGAGTTTGACCTTTTTTATTTTCTTTTTGACCGGCCGGTTATATTTTGTACTTGGCCCGTGGAAGGCCGGGGTTTATTTTTTCCTCCGTGAGGATATCAAAACACCCAAATTATACAATCGCTCTCCGTTTCTCGGATGAATTTCAACTACATCAAGTTTTTGTTTCGTCGATCGAAATCGAATATCATTCGAATATTATATTTTGAACCAATCGCAGAGATTTCCAGAGATATTTTCCCCTCGAACAAGTTATAAGCTGCTATAGTATTCCGTATACATTGTAAATTGTATCTGTTTTTAATGCGCCTTAGATTTAATAACGAGTTTTCATATTGTAAGGTATCAGTGGGTATATTATAAAAAAATATTGTGAAATCGCAACTTCTCGTGCTCTTATTCGAATATTGTATAAATTTACGTCCGTCGCATTCCTCAAAAACTTTTACGCGAAAAGAAAAATGTTAAGACTTTTCCGTACGTTTCCGTTAAACTCTCAAGACCATTCCTGCAGTGGCAGGATGACAAATCTAATAATGTCGTTACGGTTTTGTATATATACGGTTGTCAAACGTTTAATGAGAAATACATAATATTTCTTCTTTCCGATATTGACTTAGTGTCCGCGTTGCTTAAAATGTTTTATAAAAATGTCAATCATACAAAATATTAATCCACGACACGAAATATTGCCACTGCGTATGAATAATATAGTTGTGCCGGAGGTTGCGCGGGATTTTGATCGTTAGACGAGTTAATTTTGAAATTTCAACATCATAATGTAGATAACTAAACGGAGCCGCGAGTGACACTGATACAGTTTGTCCGCGAGCAGTCATTAATAAGTGATGTATTTCGCAACGGCGGCGGTGACTTACGGGTAACTGACTAAATTAAATTAATACGCTGTGTGCGTTCCTCGCTGCCTGAGAGACTGGAAGATTGATACGACGATTACTCTGTATGCGAAATCCGAACGGATTGTGTATAGTCTCCGAAAAAGCAGCGGTATTCGAAAAGGCATACTGTACAGTACCACTTTATAATTAGTAGAGCATACGTATGTTAAAGGATTAGCTGTGTGTGCTCTGCAGTATACTCGTCGTATGCGTACTTTGCATAAAACTCGAAACCACTCGACGCGCACGTTTTAATAAATTATAATTGCTCGGTTTCGTTACAACAGCGGGGAAAATGGCGGTGGAAAAATATTGAAAATCCGTACGCTGGCTCCGAAAATTAAACAAAATATAAAAAAAAAGAAAAAAGAAGAGTAAACACATGATACCTATAACGAATTCGTCGGGTTTACCGGACGGTTACAATTTTTAACAGCGCTAGGGTTCTCTGAACCGTATTGGTTTTACACATTATAATAATTACACTGCGGCACGAAACAAAGCGAGAGGAATTCCGAGCGTCCGATTCGCGAAAAGCCGGATCTACGATGATGTGTCGGAAGTGACGTCACGCCCATAAGGGGGTCCCGGAGCGGTGCGTACCTATACACTGTACGACGATGTCCATTAGGTCTGTCTGACAGACCGTAACATCCACCTGCGGAATGACGAGTGTATATACGTGTATATATGCGGAACACACACTGCAGCAAAACATGTGATGTGTAATATATTATGAATTGATATTATTTTATTATATACTGCAGCGACGAATTCGTTTATTTTTATTTTTTTGTATGTATGGTATATATGTATAAGTATACATCATACGGTGTCCGATACGAGGAAATCGAATATCCCGCGAACCGAGAGTCGTCCCGCTGCAGGCTTCGAGTTTATTATGAAAATTAAAAATTAAAAACGGGCAGAAAGCATGGAGAACGAAATCATCGTGTGTGCGCGCCCGCGATATCTGCATGATGTTTTCTACACTTTTCGCGTTTCGCGAATATCTGCAGAGACGCAACAGGCGCGTTAGTTAATTAACTATTATAATAATAATTGTTGACGACAGTATAATATTATAATACGATATTTTAACGACACATTTTTTTTTGAAGGTACTACACTACTTATTCTTTCAAATCGTTGCTATCTAACGAACGCGTATTGTCTTTATTATTATTCTCGTGACTATATCGCGCATTGTTATCCGCAACACTGACCTAATCGATTATATACTTATAGATGCATATTTTACAAACTCATTAACACCGTCATCACCGTCGTCGTCGTATTCCAAACTGCAAGGTTGTGTAGCAATCATCGTCACCCGGCCCGTTTGACACCTTAAGGCTGCGAAACTTTCGTACAATACAATAACCAATTCATACGTATTTATTTTAACATAATATGATATTTTTCAACGGTCATTAAAAATAATTATCACTGATGTCTACTTATATATACGCTAGCTGCGTGTCGTAAGAAAAATAACTATTGCCGTTCTAAACCATAGATTTGTAAAAAGAAAAAAAATGGACTGATAGCGCATATAGAGAGAAGTATACGGGGCCCAAAATTGTTAGAAAAAGATAGCGTAAAACGTGTAAGATTATCTAAACGACTATAACCATTAAAATTGTGTACGAGACAAATTAAAAAAGATAACAATATTGCATTAGAAAAAAATACGGCATACAATCCTATCATAATGTCCCGCAGATATTTCGGTTATCATTTCCTAACTGGGTGACATGCAGTTCATAGTATGTTAATGAGGTTGTATTACACATGCCCGGATAATAGAACTATACCTATCATTACGCATGGAAACGCGAGAGAAAAAAAACACCGGCGAGCCATAAAACTCCGTCACTAAACTCGAATTTCTCCGCTCCCTTTATTTTGTATAATAGAAATATACTTTGTTAAACAATAAATGACCGAATTTATAATAAACATTTGATTATAAAAAATTGTAGCGGGGGTTGATGAAATTTGAAACCCTTAAAAAACATATTTTTGATACCAATATCATGACGTATATTCAACATTTCGTTCCTCTGGCTTCATTTTGAGAGTCTATATAGACATGCAAAGCTAAAAAAAACGCGCTCTACCAGCAACAAAATGGCGAAATTTATATTTAAATTCAACCCGACAGATTTTATCCTATAATCGACTTCAATTCCTAATTTCCGCTTTTGAGCTCATTTGACCCAGAGGAAGCCGCTAAAAATGGCCGAAAGTAAAAATTAATATTTTGTCCCAGGGAAGCAGTCAATTTTTCGATTTTTTTTGTAACTGTGTCATGTGTAATTTTTTCCCTTTTAATTTTTGGTCTAAATGGCATAAGTATACACGGTCTAACACATAAAGTTATACTGAAAATTATAACATAATGCATTTTTTATTTGGCAAAACCACTTATGAATTATCTGACTTTTAAGATATTTAAAACGCCTACATTATACTATTCAGTAATAATTTAGCCATTTATACATTTTTTTTTTTTTAAATTGAATACTGTAGGAAATTGAATCAAGTCCTCTTCTTCCCCGGGACCACCAAAAATATACAACAGACATAATGCGGTGTGCAATAATATAGAATCTGTATTTTTGGAGAAAATTCGATAAAATTGTACCGACCGAAAGGCTGAAGAAATTACTTATAGAAAATGCTTTTATACCAAATGCGTTTACACCCACACATAGTTTTATTATACGTAGTGGTACACGTTAATAATAATAATATCAATTGCCAATGAAATTTACTACACTATATAATATTATACGAGTATGTATTATAATATACGGTCGAATCACTACGTACGGATCGAATTACCGTGGATCGTAAAATCCACGACAATCTCTCCGCGGGTCCGGGACGCGATTATGTCATAATAATATATTCTGTATAGACGATATTATTTTCATATAATATTCGTTTATAAATCCATTAAGTATATTATTATTGTAAAATATTCACGCGATACGTGTATTAAACGTGATCGGAATCGCGAAATTGTCGAAAACCAAATATAAAATACCGCCTCGATAACGACATCGATGAGAATACCTGCATTTATATTTCGTATATAAATATACAGATATAGGTGAACTCGGGTAAACCGAACAAATATGACCCACATAAAAAATAAAACCATATACCTATATATTATTATTTATTGATTACGATACGACGATCGGCGTAAATAAATAAAACGATTTAAAACGCGCGTATAATGTGTGCAAAAGTGCAAATTCATTCGACGCAATTGTTATTTCGGTATGCAAGACATTTCGTCATATTCGTTAAACGAGTACCCGACTTTCGACAGCAATCCGCGTGTTTTTCATTTAAACTTTTTCGTTATACACGGGATATTTTTCGGTAAAATATTTGCAGTTTCGTTGTGGTAAACTGCAATATTATGTAACATTTTAAACGGGTACCAACTGAAATTCAAAATGTTTTGTTTTTCAATCTGTTACTACGATAGTAGTAATCCATAACACCAAAATAGTTTTTGGTGTTATGACTAATACAACACAGCCAATGGTTAATATTGATACGTTCCTTCTAAACAAGGCCTTGTTTAAAAGGTGGTGAGAGGAGGCGAGGGAAATGTGGCCGTTTTTAAAGAGTAGAAATTATTTTTCACTTTTAAGTATAAGTTGCTTTATTTATTTTATATTTTAATGAGAAAAATACCATCCAAATTTCCGACTTTTTCAAACATTTTCTTTCATAAAAACCTTAAGAATCAGCCAATTTGGTCCAACCATTTCAAGTTATGCACATACCAACGAAAATAAGCATTAATTTTTGTATATATAGATTTTATATTAAAGAGTATTTTGAAATCTATTAACATAATCCTCCAAAAATATTGTAACTAAACGAGAAAATGTTTAAAAGGAAAACAAATGGTAACGATTTTTCGATGTATAGATGCGATGACTTTAAGAATGTTCTGATGTAATTTATTTGACATTAAATCCAACTGAAAGATCTTTTTCGACACTTTACATATTTTAAACTAAATTCAAACTTTTAAATCAGGTAGATAAGTTTTTATATTTTGTTATTTAATTTTGCTTGGTAGTATTATTAATAAAAAAAAAAAAAAAATAGCCATGTTTAAATTTTCGACTGCCGGGAAGGAAGACGGACATTTTTTTTGTTGCCTGAAGTATGCAAAAATCTTAGACACGGTCCTGCTTCTGAGTAATGAATTTAAAGTGGAATATTACACAAATGATCATGTGTAGAATATTGTTAGCCACTAGTAGTACACACGATTCGGACGAATTCAAATAATTAAGATATCCGTTGCTATACAGTATACAATTATTACCTACACTGTTTAGGAAATAATAAATTACATAATGGCTAAACTATTATAACCTATAATATAATCGTTAAATAACTATGCGCTCGCGGAGTAAAAATTATTATATTATTATTATTAATATTACTTTTACTCGGGTCCGGTGGAAATCCAAGGATTCGACCTTCGCGTACGGTGGGTAATACACGATACTATATCGTTTCGAAAAAAGTTTATTCCGCCTAGATTTTTTTTAATTTCCTTGTAAAAATACAAGAGATCGATACAGATAATACTTTTATAGCACGTACGCAAAAAAGTATACCTCTACAGTATAAACAACAACAACTACAGTAACAATAATTAATCATTACGGTGTCAGCTTATAATACATGTACAATACTATATTATACGTAGGTGCATGAGGGATAATATTGTATACAGTTCGCGATAAAAGACAAAAGTTATTAAAATATAATCTATTATAATAATTCATATAGCCATATGGGTATATGCATGAGATGCCTCAGCAAAAAAGAATTTGAATATTTAAAAAACAATCCACCATTCACGATAAAAGTTGATGTACCTACGAGAAAAAAAAAGGGTAAACCGCAACATTATTATAATGACGACAATATTTGGCAACACGAAAATAGAATATTAATGATGGGTAGTTGCTGCCTACCGGCCGCGGAGTGTAATAGCAACACGCAACGCGGACACGCTCAAAAGAAAACGTACTACGTTATCATCCGAAAATAAAAAAATCGTTGCATAAATACCGTCATACGATTATTATAATATTATTTTTATTTCGTATAGTATTATTGACATCGCCTTATTTACGCTGCAAGGACGTCGTTTTAATAATATTAGATATTTCGAGTGTGGGCTCAAACGATATCTCGGTCTAGACCGAAGAAAACACAACCGCGGAAATATAATAATTACCTATACTACACATTATTACTCTAGTATGAAAACAGAAAAATGAATGTAAATTAACTCAGACAGTTATATCAATAGCCAGATACAATCGCGCGGAAGTCAAGAAAACGCGATTGCAGTAGTCATGCGTGGAGAAAAGAAGCCCTAATATGTCGGATACAGTGTAGTATTCCAAAGAGAAAAAGATTCTTGGATCGACTATTGAGATGGGAGGAACAATCAAAGAGCAACGAGAAAAGTTGAAACCGATAACCAATTGTCATGATTAAGCGATGAACAGAAAGAAGCGGCAGGAAATTTGTTGGACTATTTGATTTCAATGGTGGGTTATAACAAAACAAAGAAAAAAAAATGAAAACGAATACTTAGATTTCTTCAACGTTCACTATTATACATTTTGATAGTTTATATCATAATATATGATGGTTCGATTCTCGTATAATCGACTAATGGCACAATATACAAAGAAAATAACTCCGCTCGGTCGACTCGAAAACATTATACATCGCACACTCTTCGAAATATTGACGTGCCTTTGACGTTTAAACAAATTAAAATTACTAAAAAAAAAAAATCGTTGGCAAATAAGCATACCGGTATATTATTGTCTAAAAAATGTCTTTTAACACTATAACCAGTAGGCACTGTGGCATGTACAACGAAATAACGGATGCAAATGCGTAAACGAAAAGTAGATAGAGGAATATCTACTTTTAACTTGGGGTCAAAGTTTTTGGTCAGGTTTGATATTTACAGTACGGATACATTTACACTAAAAAAAAAAAAAAAGGTTTACATTTACAGAGATGAAGGTTATACAATGAATAAAGAGAAATGAGATAAAAATGAAAGTAGCAGAAATTACAAAGTCAAGGTGAATGTGTGATGTAATCAGAGGAAAGACATAGAAGAAAGAGAATAAATTGGAATGGGCACGTTAAGAGAATAGGAGAAACGATGATATAGTAAAAATAAATAAATGTGAAAAGTGGCTATAGAACTGGTTATTAGGAGATATATGAGGGCATATGAATGAAGAAATGGCGATGGGTGAAGTAGTAAAGGCGTATAGTAAAAAGATACTCCACTAACCTAATCGTTATTAAACAAAAATATTGTGCACAGATAAACTCGATGCAAAATGCACAATTTCCCTGGTCGAGATCGAGGACACGATTATTATAATAATCAGAGGTCGTTTGTGGTTATTGTCCGCGACAGCCGCCGTAGATTATAATAATAATAGTATTAATAAGACGAGTGTATTATACCGAAATTACACATATAATCGCGATACTGTCGGGGACCTTTGAGCAGACGCGTAAGCGCCGAAAACTGCACGAGACACGCCATTTTTGTGTACGCGATAACATAATAAATAATAATATTATTAAAGTAGAACCGCGGAGAGACTCTCGTCCACGGTATCGTTCGTTATTATTGTGTTTACGATAGCATTGTCAACCGGGATATATAATATACCTAGCATATTATAAATGACGACCGCTTTCACCAGTCAGTCATCACTACGATTGCCGTGACAGTGCTCGACATAGAGATGAAAAATACAAAACTATACATTAATCGAGCAAGGTCGTGGAGGCCAACCGCATTTGCGATCCGAAATTCGGTCTGTTGGTTCGCGGTAACCATCTCGATGTTTACATAACCCGCGTATAACCACTGTAGTATACAAGATGATTTTTTTTTTTTGTAAATAATTGATTTAATTAAATTCTGTTGGTTTTTTTCTACTTCGATACACAAGCGAATTGGCGTAATGAAAAAAAAAACTGGTGTTCTCGTTGGAAAAACAAAAGTTTATACCATCACAGAATACTCCTGAAATGGTATAAAAAAAAATCTAAGTATTTGAAAATATACACCTACCTAGTCTCTAAGTGCATAATAAATGAATTTTTCAAAACAAAATTTGTATAAAGTAATTATCATTTAGTCACAAAATCACAGCGAATTACCCTGTGTATGTCTTTGTTTTTAGGAGTTTTCAAAAATTATGCTCAAAACGATATCTACCTATTGAAAAAAATATTTTGTATAAAAACCTATACAAAATTGAAAATTTATCTAACTTGATTTATATTTTTTTTTTTTTATCATTCATCAAAATTGTATAGAACTAATAGAAGACGCCTACGCAAGCCATATTATTATTACACTTGTTATTTAATCGAAATTTTCCAGAAAACCAAAAACGTTTCTTTTTCGACCGTAATAAATGCACGGGATTGATTATATTTTCGTGTACAATAAATTGTCTTCTTCTTTTTAGTGCCATATTCTCAATGGACGTTGACTATCACAAAGTTTCAATCTAATCTGTCTTGTGCTATCCGAAACAGTTCAATCATTGTTAACTCGGTCTATCCCTCATAATCTGTCTTCCGTCTTCTCTCCCATCTTAAGTATTTCCTCGGACAATTAGCGTATGTGTTTATATTTATCACCACTCGTGAGATGTCCTGCAAATTAACCAGCTAGTTTACATATTTTCACAGTGCTTATAATTTTTATATCTTTCCCAGTTCGTTGAAAAACATTTTAGTGTACAAAAATAATTGTTTAACAAATTCAGTAGTCTTTGGGTATTTAATAATATATTATGTGTACACAGTTACTAGTCAATAAAGGTACTTATAGTTATTATGATAATTATACCTACTCGTATACAAACAAATACAAATCCATAATATTATATACATCGTTAATAGTACACTTAAATAGTTTAACTATGTTTAGTATATACGGACCACCAAAGTATAGGGTTTATCTAATTATATTGATTCATTTTGTTTAAGCTTTGTAAAAGTAATTATTTATTGAAGTGGCAAGTACCTATAGTTAAACGGAAAGATTTACGTTACAAATTATAACTACTAACAATAATTATCAAATAAAACTAATGGGAAACGATTATGTTTACGTCGTTGTATTTGTTTTATTTTAATTTTAATTGATACAATAATAATGTATTATTTGTTGGATTAGTGCGATCTTAATTACGACAACATAAAATAATTGATGCGTTCAATAAATCATTATAATATTAAAGCCTTTATTACGACAAGACAAGACAACAAGACGACGACAAGACGATACTACCGATAATTCAAGAGGTCGCGTATAGGCAATTTAAATACATTTCCGAAAAAATTAAAATTTATCTACACTAAAAATATTCGAATTCGCTTTCATATAAATTTAAAAAAAACTGAAATCGTATCACAAGTATTTGTTTTGTATTATCGTGAAATTTGTTCATGTTTATAAAACAACAACATAAAACAAACAAAATATCTGTAAAAGTGATTTTAGAACATTTACTAGTTATGAAAATTGGCTACAACATTATCTATGTTATGACATTGATTTCTGATTTATTTTTATTGAGACAATAGATATTAAAGATTAAAAATTGGCCTTTTTCAATGATTAAAAAAATGTTTAACTTTTGTTTACTAGATGGATATGCGATTTCCAAAATAAAATTATGTTCTTTAATTATTATTTTATCATAAACTTTTTAAGACAAATAATATTAATTTCGAAATCAATCGATTCTTCAACACATGGTTTTCATATGTTTAAAAACGCTCACAATGTCATCCTCTAACATTGTATGTAATCGTTTGGGCTAGTACTTTTAGATTCTGAGTGGGGAGAAAAAGCTTATGGTTTTACAATGATATTTATTTTTTTTTTCTGTAGACGTCTTTTTTTATCAGAAATTTTGCTCCTATTTTAAATAATAACACTTTTTCTGAATGTAAATCTATCGACTGGGGAAGTACTTCAGAGATAAAATTTTTTAATTTTTCCAGGAGTTTTCTCAACAAATGGAAAAAAATCAGGAAAAAAATAGGAAAACGGGGAAATAGGTACAATATTAAACAAATATTATTAAAAAAAATACAAAATGTACATGTAATTATTTTACCATAATATGATATACTCATAAATATTGTCAAAGCAACACTATCAACCGAACTCTGCTCAGAATATTTTTTTCATTAGCAATGGTTTATCATTGTATACAGATATTGGTACATTAAATTACCTATAACAGTAGCTGCACCCATCTCCATTATCCTAGGACAGTTTTTTAATTTTTTTTTTAACCAACATTAATTACTAAACATTATGTTTAAATGTTCAAACTTTATAATATTTTGAAATAAATTGCGTACGATATTTGCAGAGAGAAGATGATTTTCGTTCAAATTTGAAAATAGTTTAAATTTAAGCGAAAGCTTTTTAAAGAGAACGATCTTATCATTCTGCAATGACAAATTTATTTAAACCTAATCAAAAACAATTTATGAGATTAAACTCTCAGTTATAGAAAAAATATTGTGCATTAAATTACATAACATTTTGAAATAGGTACTTATAGTAATATAGTTTTAAGCTTTTCAACAATATTAGTATTATTTTACCTACACTGATAAAGGAATACATTTTTCTGAAGGTAAATGTTATTTGTAATTGTATATGATTATTTTTTTTTTTTACAAATGTAACGACTTTTTTAGATTAATAACGGGAGTGGAAAACTAATGTAGCATGTAAAAAATAAACGAATAATAAATCAATTACTTACGTAATCAATCAGAAAAACAAGGAGAATTCCAAAAACGCTTTACACATCACACCGCCTTACCTAAAAAATGATAAATAAAAAAAATGAATTACACAAAATAATATTAATATATTGCCTACAAAATATTCATAATTTTTTATTATACATTTTTTTATTTGCTTACATTTCAAAACAAAATAATAATAATATATATTTAAAATAATAATGCTGCATACCTTGGTCAATGTCCCTATAATAATACTTATAATTTGACAATATGAAAATAATATATTTTCGAAATATACATAGAAAGTAGTGGATTACATTATTATTATATTATAACTTCAAAGGAACAAACTAATTTATTAAAATAGTCACTTATATAGGAACATAAATATAAAAGTCATTCGCATCTAATGATTTCTCCCAAAGTCAATAGGTACTTCAAAATATCATATTTTGTAAATTGAGAACTAAACTAAACTCGTTTATTCCGATTAAATAATACGTATAAGATATTTGCATTATTATAAACTAAATTCTATAATTTAATTAAAATCTGTATTTTTTTTTTTTTTTTTTAATTTACAACTCGATTAGTATCATTTTTCGTAATGTTTATTTATTTAAATGAATATCTCATATTAAAAAAATAATAAATTCAGAGCGTTATATTATTAAAATTCTAATTTTTAATAAATCATAGTATACCGGTACACGTTTATTCAGAAGGTATTTTGAGCGACGACGTTACTTGATGTTATTATAATAACAGTAATTTTTAATATTATACATTATTATATAATATTTAGTACGTATTACAATAGAAATACACGAGGTAAATCAAATAATGCGAATACCTACGTTGAAATACTAAAAATGTTTGTAAAAATAAAATATTATAATATACAATAATAACGATCCACAAAACTATGTTAAATTAAAAAACCGTTTTTAAAACCAATATAAGTACTTATTACAAAAGTGAACTCTGCGATTATAATTAACTAATTTACAAAAAAAAAAAAAATCAAAAATAATGAAACCATTAATGTAGTAAACCTTTCCAGTTTTCTTCCGTTATTAAAAAAAACTACATAATAAACCGACCACCTACGCACTAACTAGACTCAAAATAATTTAAAAGTCTCTCTTGTAGAAAAATTGTACACAAACAAAAAATAAATAAATAAATAAGCACACATTATTGTAAAACCGAATTGCTTGATATTTTTTGGAACAGTTCCAGGAATGGTGACTAAATGATAATAATAATATTTTTGTATAAAATCGCGGAAAAAAAATATATACATCATATTATACACAAACCACAACTTTTCCACTACTACAACCGAAAATCATTAACCAAGCCGAAGTATAATAATTCAACAAAATATTCGTTAAAGTTTAATTATATACGATGAGATTCGAGTACAATTTATTATTATATTAATAAACACCACTGCATTAATAATAATTATAACTCTCAATTATATACGACGAATCGACGGGCATATATATTATTTAATGACTTCATTAAAATCACTTTTGACGCATGAAATAAATTGCTTTAAACGATTCTGAAAGCGAAGTTCGGTTAAATGATGTTTTAACGAATTCAAATTGAAAATTGTATTAATTTGTTTAAGTTTACAAATCAAATTACAATTTTGTTCATGAATTTATTGAATTTTATCAATTTAAAATGATTAAAAAAAAGACTTAAAAATTTGTACGGACTCTTATCATTTAATTATAAGTTTATAACCCTTATATCTATAAATAACTCAAAAACCGTCAGAAAATCTTAAAAACCTGATCACGTCTAGAAAATATTAGTACAAGTATTCGATGAAAGTTTAGTCTTTAAAGTTATTTTTCACCGAATTACGAGTACAAAACAATATTTCAGTTTTCCGACATTATATTGTTGGTTTTCTCCAATCATTAATTAACCTACAAAGAAAATCAAAAAATGACCTCGAATATGCATCAATAAAAAAAAAATTGCTACCAAAAATATTCTCAGATATTGATGATTGGAGAAATATTTCTTTCCGGAAATTTATTCACAGGCAGAAAAAAACCTACACTTCACTAAAAATCTAAAATATAAATTGTCTTTTTTACGAGACTGAGTTTAATTTTAGTTAACAGTGAAACATTGTACCGCAACAAACCATAGTAATGTTCTGCAGGATATGTAAATTTAGTTTTGCAACTTCAAATTTCGTGGTAAACTCGTTACCTAGCTTATTTGTTTGAAAAACAGTTGTATGGTACTACTCTAGTACTCAATTATACTTTATACTTATTTTGAATTCCAAAAACGTTGTTGGATGCTTATAGTTTATGTTTTTACCAGAAATAATTTGCACTATATATTGAAAAAAATGTTAAATAAAAAACTAATCTAACCAGAAACTGTACTATATAATAATGTCTTGGTAAAACAACGGAAAATGGTCGCGCGCGATATTACAATATTTTTAATTTAAATTTTAAAATCGAAAAAAACACCTTCGCACATTCCTTGTGGGAAACAAAACCAATAAAAAACTATCGATTTTCCATCGAGATAGCATCTCGTCAATATAATATAATGTATAATATTATATACGAGTAAGTGTATAGGTATTTTTCATAATAAAATATAATAAATTTCCAATGATTTATCTAAAGCCATTGGTGATATTAGAAAATTTATCTAACCTAAATATGCGTCATCATTTCAGACGCGTGTATGCACGTATATAGATAACAGAATCAATATCGTATATTGCCGCAGAACTATTACGCGAATTTAACCACTAATGCGGTCATCCTCCACGTACATGTATAATGTCCGTGACCTTTTGGAATAAATTGCGTTCGTAATGGCAAAAAAAATGTACCTTTATAAACTGCATAAAAAAAATGTCAACTGCGTTGCGGTACAACAGTTGATTAATTTCAATATTATAGAGCGGGTCGTGACTTTTACAATAATGTTGCCACCAGTAGCGTATTCGAGGGGAGAGATTAGGGAGATATATCTCCTCCCTTAAACATCTTTTTCAATACCAATTTATTATTTACATCACTACTCATATATATAATATAATATGATACAATTTTGAAATACAATATTTTCTTTCTTGGTAAAATCTTAAATAAGTACCTACGTTTTCTCTCTATAATATAATATCGATCCTGTCGCTCTATATCCTAATAATATAATAATATTTTATTTATACACCGGCAAATAATGTTACGAATCCAAATGTCTCGACATTGTTTTTCCTATATGTTTTTCACAGTTTTTTTTTTCCGTTTTATTCGAATATTTTCTTCTATGTTGTAATAATTTTATCAAATTGAACACAATTCGTGTTTTTTTTTTTTTTTTTAATAAACGTCCGTAACTTGGGGGGGAATTCATACATTCAAATTTGATACGAAATAATCAAAGTGGTTTCAGGTATATACTCATCCTATCTAAGTTATTAAACTTGACATCTAAATGAATCTCGCGAATTTCAATCTTAACCGTAAAATATATAGTAATATAGTTGTAGGTATATCAATTCTGAAGAATAAAACTTTTATTGTAATGTAACAATATTATAATTGGCAAAAAAAAAAGAAACTTGTGGTAAAATAATGACTAACCCTTTTGTACAAATTGTTTACATTTTTTATAATTATTTTTAAAATATGAAAAAAAAATGGCGGACAAAAGAAATCACTTGAGGTAGCTTTTTTTTTTTTTTAATGAACCAACGAAATAAAAATAAAGTGATAGTTACTTAGTTAGTGATAGTTAGTGATACAAGTAAAACACAGTAACAAAATTATAATATGTACACTGCACAGTGTACACTACGTGGAAATACTGCAGAGTAAATGATTGATCACTCGCATAATAAAGTTGAATATTAACACGTCAAGTTAATGATATTATTATGATTACGAAGAGCGGAATATATCACTCATGTCAGATTTGGGACGTAATTTTCCTAAATAACAGAGGACGAAAGTTAATAATAGAAAATAAATATATTTGTTTTCGTTCACCGGTTTTCAAAATCCATAAAGATATCGTAATAATCCAATCGTTATTATTATATTAAAGTTTGTCAACCAAACGAAAATTCAAAACTAATCCAATTCAAAATCAAATTGAACCTCAAAACCTTTCAAATATGTTTGATTTAATTTCCCCGAAGCGTATTCAATTAAAATCGATAAATGAAATACCACTTTAAAAATTACATTTTCCACTTCTAATGATTCGTTTTTATTAACAATTGCACACTGCATTTTACACTGGATTTCCGTCACGAAAGTATGAATGTACCGAAAATCCGTTGTAGAAAAATATGACTCCGTTAGTTTTTATTATGTTGTTTGCTGTTCAGTTTGTTTTTAAAATTAAAATTATTCACAAAGAACCAATACTATATAGTTATTATATTACTTTAAAAATACTTAAAGGCAGTGGTGCATTTAGAGGAGGAAAATGAAAAATGTCAAGGGTGGTAAAATTTAAATGATTTTAAACGGAATTTTTTAAAGGAAAGAGGAAGTTAGATAAAAATAAGAAAAATAAAGAAAATAAAAGTATGAGTGCAAATTGTGGAGGAAGCACAGTCATTTTTTTTTTTTTTTACCCGGAAAGCAATCCTAAATGTGCCACTGATTAAAAGGAACAATATATTATTATATTTACCGGGCATCTCGAGGAATATTATGCGTTTTTAATCCTAATTCTACCGACGTATATTTGCAATATTTATGGAATTCGTTCGTTTTTAGGGATATTAAAAAATAAAGCACGTATATCCGCCCGTGGCCATCAAAGTCACGCTGTAAATAACGAACAAGAGGCGAATATGGTTCAGAAAGTTGTAATTTTTTTCACCACATTACGTGCGGTTTTTTTGATATAGGTATAAAACCCATACCTATTACAAAGTTAAACTTCTTCGGCGGTCAAGCCGAAAATAATAAAATACCTATACAAACCGTACAATAGTCGTTACAGTATTTACAAAAGCATGTACGTATTCGGAAAACACGCACGTGACAGCCTATATTTCGTTCCTTTCGACATACAATATTATAGTATACGTAACCAGTGGATTATGTATTTATATAATATTATAATATGTTAATGTTAAATACATTCCCCAAAAGTTTTTCACCGAAAATCGATTACTTACGACGTCGTTCCATTTAAAATAATAGGTAAGTGACTAACACTACTGCATCGGTATACGCTATTATAATATAATACCTATATATTTATTTTCTAAATGAAAAAACCCCGTACACTATTGAACATAATATAAAGTTTGCCGTTTATACATATAACATATTACATAAAAGTATAGTCTTCCGGGCGACAGAAACTAGTCGGAAAGTTTTTAATATAGAAACTTTTGGAACATTTTCGCAATTTTAAACGTAACGGATAATAAAGAAGTTTTGAAGTAGTTTAATAGAAAAGAAAAGTAAATACCCGAGTTAGTTTTCATAAAAATTTTTAAAAAAATGCAAAAAAGTATCAACGCAGTCGGTAGGATTCGAACCTACGCTCCCAGAGGGAATCTGATTTCTAGTCAGACGCCTTAACCGCTCGGCCACGACTGCTCGTTGTATGTAACATAATCAACGCCACTATCTAATGTCCAACTTTATGCACATAACGTTATCCTGTTACTGAATAATTTATAATATTTTGACCTTTAAGTATTATTTGCTGAAACGAATGACATTTAATTAACCATTTAACAGCATGTTCGTAGATGTATTTAAAAATAAGTATTTGTATTTACAATAATATATATTTTATTTCTGTGTATATTATACTATGGAATACAATAATATCCATTTTTTACGCTTAATTATATAGGTAATATATGGTTTATGATAATTTCTGTTAATAAATATTCGCTATTTTTAAACAAGCAATTACTCGTGTTTTCATATTTCGAATACGATATTAATAATAATAAATTCAAAAATTAAACGCTGCAATTTACAAAACTGGGGCTCACATTAAATTTATACCGACCCATATAATATGATCATTATTATTTTTCACGATTTTTTTTTCAAAATATTTTTTTCTGAGAGTTTCTTTTTATATAATTTTTTTTAAAACTTTTTGATTTTTACCATAAAGACACGAATATTGGACGCTCCCGTATTAAAAACAAATATATATTATCCAAATATTTAACAAAAGTGGATTAGAATATTTTCAGAATGTATTTTTCGCCTTATATAAGTATATCTGTAAAAACGAGTAAATGACAGGGCAAAAAACAACTATATAAAAACAAACCCGTCATTGAAAATCATTTAGAATAAAAAAAATATTGTATAGGTAACGACGTTTCTGCAGGCCGTTTTAGCTCTTGCCTTGATGATAGTAAAACTTCCCACCTACCCCAAATACTTTATCGATTTTCCGTTCCTGACAAGGATCGCGTTACTATCCTATTGCCTCGACAGCAATACAAGAAGTGTTTAGAATTTAATCAACAGTTTAAACAAACAAATAATTTCATATCGCAGGCAATAATGAAATAAACAAAAAATAGCTATCTGCGTTATAATGAATACCTATACCGTAATAATAATGAATATTATATGAATTCGAGTAATCGATAAGAGAAGGCGAGAGTCGGTAGGATTTACTAAATCGAAATCTATAGCACACTTAGAAATAGAGAGAAAACTCGTTCGTCTTTATTCGATTTCGTTTCGGATTTCCCGAGTTTTGCTGTTTCCTATTAGACCATAGTCTCGAAAATGCAAAAAGTGCCTCGGCTGCGATCGTTTTTCCCTCGTCCTGTCCACTGAAACGCGTACTCTATTCGACGAGGTGATTTGTTAATACAAACCCCGCACAACAGTTGAATTCAAAACCCCGACACGGCTTCCGTTTCCCGACGAAAAGTAATGTCCCGAGAGAATTTACTAATTATTGTAAAACGGTTCAAAGTAGTTCGGATATTCACTGTACCGTTATTTCAAAGTAGGTAAGTACACGATCTTTTCGAAATTTCTCATCTTTGTACATAAGCGGAAATTCTCAACAATTAAAACCCCTAGACGAAATAAAAATGCTTATATGTGCACTAAACTTTTTTTTTCCTTTTTATGTAAGAGTTTTTTGTTTTGCGTTTACATTATACTCGTATTTTACAGTTCAACAATCGCAAACATGTATACCTACTGTAGTGATAAAATTAGTTTACGTTTTCAAGTTTGAATTTATAGTTGGAATTAAATACGGTACAACAAGTACACAACAATAAATTATGATAGTTGTATAAAATAACACAATATTATAATTAGGTGTATATCCGAATATACTTCCCCACCTAATGGAATATTCAAGTTATGATCAATGAGGTTTCGTAGCAAATAGATGATACGTATATAATATAATAAACTTAAGAATACACATACATTTTAATAAAGTTTAATGTAGATCTACAGCATAAATTATAACGTAAATAGGTACCAATAACTTTATATTATAATTTCAACCGTATTACTCACACAAAGTATAACCTAAAACCTCAAGTAACACAATAGTTACAAGGATTAACCAAAAACATTACAATTTGTTGCTTTTAGTTCCATATCAACTATTTGTTTTTAATATAGACTAATAAAATTTCGACTGGATAAAAAAATATGTGTATATATATAAATATATCAAGCAAAAAATTTAATATTGTAGTTTATTATAGATCAAATAATATATACTATTCTTTCTTATTTCAAATTAATTATAATATTAATATTATCGAAAACGATGTATAAAGAAAACAAGTTTTTTTAAATTTTATTTAATTTTACAAATTGTTAAATGTTTGACCTTACAACTATAAAATTAGAGCAACTATAAAATGTACATGCCAACGATTTTATCAAGACTATAATATCTATTATACTTTGACAATTTGCATAATATTATAAATGGAAACTATATAAGTACATACACAATAATATGCTATCTAGATGGACCAGGTAAAGCAATTTAAACTAAACCCATCGCATCCCTTTCCTCAAATAACTATAACACCTCCCGTCCAAAAGCGGGTAAAATATAATTATAATAATATAGGTACATACAGTTATTGACCCGATTTTAAATTAATAACAGAGACCTATTTTATTTGATACTCATAATATGTATAATATAATCCGGGTATTTAATATATTAAATCAAATTTTATTGGGTAAAATGTTAAAATGGTAAAATGTAAAATGTTCAAAATAAGTTTGAATTTCACATAGAGTACCCAACAAATTAGTATTAATTAAAATAATATATAATAACCATAGTTAGTAAAATATATTTTACAAACAAAATTCATATCATAAAACCAAAACAACAAACTTTTTAATCACCTATATAATTAAAAGGCAATCGTATAAAACCACAGCTCTTACGAATAATTAATATTATTTAAAAATATTTACATAGTATAGAAAGAATGCTTTCGTTATTTGTAAAAACTTACTTATGGCAGTTTAATGAATTTAATTGTAAAAATAATCGCATTGTAGTCCTTAATGTTAAACTTTCAAGCAAGATCAATAATTCAGCTGAATTACTGAATAATAAAATAAAATATATTCTTCCGAAAATATCCAAAATCATTTTTGGTTTTTTTTTTTTTTTTTCGTAATTTTTGTAATTCGTTGAAAATAATTATTGTTAAAAATATGTTATTTTTTTTAACTTTAATATGGCATGGTTTAAGTTACTGATTAAGTAGGTACTGAATAATATTGAACAACCTAACACTACAACTGGAATAATACACCAGAATACGGTAAAAATTACAATTACAAAATCAAATAATATAGTAATAATCAAAACTGAACCGCATTAAAACGCTTAAAATAATACATGAATCGATTAGGTATAAAGTCAATGGTGAAATGTCGAGAAAAAATCACGAAGTCATCTTGTTACCGCGGTTAGATCAGTGAACCCGATAGACGTTTGAGTATGATAAGTTGCCTGTCAACAAGGCGCTAAGATTCAATTTATCAAAGTAATTCCAAAAAAGAAAAAAACAATCAGAAATGGAAAATAAATTGTATCTGAAATACACGGTTATAATGGAAAAAAGTTTAAATGGACTTAAAAAATCATAAATAGGTATTTTTTATAATATTATGGCATTAGTTGAATTGTATATTATGTTATTTTAAATAAACTTGCATTATTCCATAAAATAAAAACACCAGTGCGTAGGCATAATAATATAAAAAAGTACTTATTTGTTATACAGTAAACTTTCAACTTTAAGCCACCTGAATAGAAGTTGTTAAATTAGTTGGTATTTCGATAATTGACATTTAAGGGGAAGGAAATTTCTATTCATAATAATATATGTAAATACCCGGAGGCATAATAAATAATTATAAAATGTAATTTATAATATTACAAACATATGTATTAGACGGTTGGATACAATATTATAACCGATACATAATATTACAGGCATATCCAAAGCGACCCTGAAGGGGTTTCGACTAGAACGGATGATGAGGAGGACGAACAATTCTTTCATCGGTTCTGTTGGGACCAACGCAGGAAACCTGACCGCGAATTAATACCCAGGGTGCGATTGAAGACGCCTTATAGAACACCGCCACTTCTTACGATAAGGTAAGACTATCAGCCAGTTAGCTAATGAAATACGATATCGAATTTATTATAGAAAACAAGGCGGTTTGTGCAAATTATTGTTCTTTTAGTATAGAAAAAATGAATTAATCGTTTATAATTTAGTCGGATGAAAATGTAATATTTCGAATTATTTAGTAATACTAATTCTGTATTTATTTGTCTATGCTGTTTGTTTAAAGTTAAATGACTATTTAGTAAGTCGCAAGACGATAATATATTCCACTTTTTTTTCTAATAAACTGTAGAATATTATGTAGAAACCAATATCTCTGTATAGTTATGTTAAACTATTATTTTTTTTTAATCTAGATAATTTAAAAAATGTGCAAATAATATTATACACCTATGAATGAAAACCAAATAATTTAAAGACAGGAATGTACAAATATTACAGAAATGGTTTGAAATGTTCCAAGTGAAAAAATAAAAAGCACGTTAACTTTGGGTTCCGTTTATAAATTCGTTAATGGATCAGAATAATTTTTTGGTTTTTTTTTTCTCATAATATTCACTTAAAATAATATATTTATATGTACCTATTCAATTAATACACTTTTTTTTTCACGTCAAACACTACAAAAGTTACCTGCACCTAAAATTGTTTAAATTATGTAAAACTATACAATATAATGTAGTCCTGGAGAACAATTTCGAAAATTAAAGTTACACAGACAATAACTATACGTATATTATTACAATTTGCAGTCGTAGGTATTTTTAAATTCTACATAATATTATGTTTATTATTTACACGGTAAAGTTCAATTTATAATTTATGTCAGTATACCTACACTTGTTTGTAATGTATACCTATAAAATAAAAGTTATTTGTAAACTATGTAAATTTTCATAATTCTTTCAAGTTAAATTTTTAATCAAAAAATGTTATTTATTGTCATGTATATTTTTTTTTGTCTATTAATATTTATTAACAATAGCATAAAATATGAAATAATGCAAATAGTAGCGATTCTGTGGTCTAAATATTATCAACTAGACAGACATATAATTATATATATATATATATATATATAAATATAATCCTAATATTATGATCTTCAAATAATATTCGGCGAGAAAAAAGAGATAAACCATGCATACAAGTGCTTTATGTATTACGTACCGCATCTAAACCTTATTGATTTGATAGGTACTGTAACGTACTTATACGACTATACCTACGAATATACTCATAGACCTTATACTAATAGACTAGCCTTGCCTATAGAATAACTGAGGTAGTAACCGGTCAGACATACACTACAGTGGTGTACAGTATAATCACATCAGTTTTGTCATTGTATGTGTAGTACAATATACAATAATACCACGTAAAAGTCACAAGTCACACGTGAAGAGCGCCCTCTATCTATGACCGTTCTTTGTGTACAAAAGGCCAGTCTTTTAGTATAAGGTCTATTGTATAAACTACTATTGATTTATGTCATAATTGTATACACAAACCTAATGTAAAAATAAAATTGTATAGATGTTTCATAATAATATTATCCGACCAAAAATAATAATATTACGTATTTTGACATTTTCGCAATAAAGCAGATAGGGGTGTGTTTATACACAGACACTTTAAAGACAAATGCCTACATTTCTACAACGGCACATTTTAATTGGTGGCAAATTTGAAAAGGAGATCTTAAATGTTGATATTATCATGTAGAAAACTATTAAACAGTGATAAATATGAAAACGTTCCCAAATTAAAAAGTAATACACCGCGTGATGTTTATCCAATATAACTTAGTTGACTCAGTTGAATTTAAAGATAATTGTGGGTTACGTGGGTTGGATTAGTGTAAATATAAGTAATGCAACTATTTTGGAGACAGAAATTAAATGGTATTAATTAAGACTATTATTAAATCTAAACATGTATAGTGTATACGGTGAAAAAACAAGATTGATTAAAAGTCCCTTCTATTAAATAGAAAATTGTTTATTGAAGAAACAAATGTTCATTCCTAGTTAGTTTATTAGGAGTAATTTTTTGAGGTCCTTGCCGAATACTTTTATTTTAGTAATTTAGGTGGCAATTTTTCACGGACCTACAAGCAACAAGCATGTAAATACGCCCCTGTAAGCAGGTACCTATACAATTAGGTTATTTAAACAAAAATTAATACTATAAACTAAATTATTAAGATAAAGAAGAATAATGTTGAGAAAAAATGTATGTTAAAAAAATTCTAACTCCAATATCCTGTATTAGTTTCATTATGTTTATTTTATACTATATACAATATTTTGATTTTAGTCGTATGCTGGAGGAATTAGAAAACGAAACGCAAAAACAAAACATGGAGGCGATTCCGAGGTCTAGAGCCAGGTCAGCGTCAGCATCGCGACCGAAACCCAGACAATACATACCGAATGAGGTAATACAAATTTCCTAAATAAAATTTATTACCACGCGCAAAGTATTAATGAAACTTCACATCTATAACTTGAAGTACCTACCCTTAAAAGTGTAATCTGCGATTATTAATGTAATTTATTGTTTTTATTCAACTCGGCGACAGATGAATATCTTTTGCGGTAGTATTACAGCTGCTGATAATACCAGACAAGAAAACTGTGCAGCAGTAATATAACTAAACATAAAACGTAATACTATTTTGCACATTTTTTATCTACTTATCTTAGTAAAATATAAGCAGTATGTATCCTACAGTTTAATGGAAAGTTCTTTGAACGCATCACACCTGCACCGGGAATCGTTAATAAAGAAACCCATAAAACACTCATGAATAATGCAAACGTTTTCCTCGTAAATGTCACAAGGATAGGAACCTAAGTGCATAGAGTTAAATTTCAGTTTTTTACCCACAAAAAACATGGAGTAGAGTTCGTTTTCAAGATTTAGTAGCCCAATAGTAGTTTGAAATAAAATTAACAAAGATTAATAATTTTGATATGCATTAATAAGTTACCTAAAACAAACGAAATTCAATTTGTTTTACCTTGGTTGTTGTTTTCTAACGTAATTATTAAAAGTTTAAACAATTAGTATCGTAATAAAAAAAATTACTAAGACAAATAAATGTTATATGATTTAAAATAAAAATTTTGAAAAACCGGAAATATAATTATTACATAAATATATGTATATATAGATAGATTTTATAACCAAAATTCTTATTTATAAAATGTAATTGATATCTATAATGAAACCTACTGACGGCTAAGCATTATTATTTTAAAACATGCATAATATTTTTTTTATTGGATATTAATATCAATATCAATATCAATTCAACTATACTTGGCAATATTATTTATATATTTATATAATTTTAAATTAGGATAATTATGTGTATTGAATATACCAATTTGTGTTCCAGAATGCTCAGTCGGCAAAAAAATTCAACCGTGTTAGCCAAGGCAATCGAAGTACAAGCAGATATGAAATTTACAACTCAACTACAAGGCCTTTCGGAAAAAGTTACCGGGAGATGATAATATCGTCTGATACAAAAATAAATCAAGAATCGACGGATACAAGTGAAAGTAGTATAGATTCAAGTCAAAGTGCATATGTTACTTGTTCTTCGGAAATTGAAACGTTGACAATAACTGGATTTCAATGTGTAGACGAGAATGCTACTAAACATGAAATTATCTTACAGGCAAATAATATAGACGAAGACATAGCAGAAGCAAGAAATTACAATGTCAATGATAATCCAAATGACGCTAAAGTAATAGAAGAACAGTTTAAATCAACCGAAACATTAAAAAAAGGTGATGAAAAACAACGGCTCATGTATAATATGCCAACAACTTCCACTTGGAAAACATATCAAGAAGAACAGCTGACATATGAACCTGAAAATCAACAAGTTCATAAGGAAATCGTGACCAGATCCAGAAGTTTGTTTAATCTACAAGATGAATTGGTCGAAATGCCATTAAAAACATCACAAAAAATAATAAAAGCAACGTCAGAAAACCATTTATTCGAACAGAATATTAAACAAAATGCCATAGCCAATCAAACCAAACCTTCGAAAAAGTATAGCAGTGCTGTAAATTTAACTCTTGAAAAAAATAACTCAAAATCAAACAAAAATGTAAAATATAAATCTCAATCCGATTTATGTGTGAATACCGAAGAACCGAAACAACTAGAAAGACCTAAATCAATGGATTTTCTTGGTACAAAAGAAAATGTATCACATACAGAAACACTGAAGAAACATTTTTATTATCATCCTTTAAAGCCGAAAAAAGAGCTAAACGATGATGAACTACCAGATCCAGATAAAGTATTGAGTACTAGACAATTATTTCAAAAAGAGTTAAAAATTCCATTGCCACCAAGTATGAACAACCAAAATCCGAAAACAGGACCAAGGACAACACAAGAGATACGAGTTATTCCAGAAACGTACAGGTCAAAACTTAAAAAATGCGTTTCTGTTGACATGGGAACAAATATACATAATAAATGGACGGACAGTGGAAGCGTATCGTCTGGAGTTGGAAGTGAAGCAAGCTTCGACACAGAATCTTCTGAAACTCATCATAGAGCTGATGGATACAGTAGTGATGATGAAGATTACTTAACAGAAAAAACAACTGTAGAAATAGTTGGTAGACCGGTATCGGCCGAAATCCTAAACAAAATAAGAAAATTCGGTACAAGCGTTACTTATTACGGCGGTAAGGTTATTTCGAGCAGCAGAGGTGTGGTATGCAGTCCAATGACAATGACTATTATGGATGAAATTCGAAATCAAAGAGAAGAAAATGTAAAACTTCGACTAGTAAAAAGTAATAGCTGCGGTAGTAGGATTGAACTAATGGAAGAACCGAAACGGTGTGAAAAACAAGTGGAAGTCATACAAGAAGAAGATGAAGATGAAGAACGACGAGGCAACTCAAGTCCAAAAATGACCGATGAAAATTCATCAAAGCTTTCGAATGCATCTTCAGATGAAATGTCGTGGAAAGCTTTGATAGTAATTAGAAAAAAAATGAGCAATGTACCTGTATTTGATATGGAATTTGAAGAATTTGAAGTATTAGAGGAAAAAAATAATTAAACTCTATTATTAAAATATATTTAAAAATTATTGTTATTATTAATATTATTGTTATCTAACTTTATGTAAAACATATTATTTTTGTTGCTAATAGTAGTTAAATAAAACTCTTCATAATCTAGCGCACATCGTCACATTCTATACAAAATAAAAAAGTTAAAATATTATAAACAATGTATGTGTATAATAAATGGATATTTTTGAAATATGAACAAAATTATTTTATACTGCACAATATTTTATAGGTACAGTAAAAATAAATATTTAAAAAAAAAAAATTGTATTCTCTCTTTTTATTGTTATTTTTATAGTTGACATATTTTTTCCTAAATAATATTTTTATGAGTTTAAAGGCAGATCTATATATGTAAATTTATTACGACTTGTAATTAGAAAATATATTTTTAATTTCCATTATTATTTACTACATTAGTCTTGCCATTCAAAACGGACAAAAATCAATTCATGACTCCATTAATTAATATCTCCCGTGTACAAATAATATTACACTCATACATTCAACATAAATATATTTTTAATGTTGGTTTATATAATATTCAAACTGAAATTAATTGAATAGGTACCTAAGTAAATAATTAGTAATATGGATTAAAATAAAACCATTAATTTTACTGAAATATAAATTGTACATATTTGTTTTATTTTTGTATAACTATCAAACGAAGCATTGAATAAAGAAAACCAAGATTATTGACATAACTATGTATAATAAGTAAAAATTATTAACATTTATATGAATAAATTTGAATTCTATAATAATAATTATTAGGGCGTGGATTTAAATACTCTAAAAAAGCGAGTAAAAATGTCATTAAACAAATACGAATTAATGTAATGTCTAATAATATTAAACAATCTGAAAAAATTCCCATTAAAAACAAACATTTTAAATTATTTACTAATAGCATTTTTAATTTGCAGGAAAGGTCAAACATTTCGTTTGGCAGATTATTATACAAGTACAAGCAAGTATAAGATTTACAAGTAAAGATAGCAATTAGGTTTTTTTTTATACGAAAAGTAAACGAGTTTATAGTTATTTTAATGTGGTTTTAAAAATTAAAATCTCAGAAGTTTTTAGTTTATATATTATGGATTATAATTCCCAAGGAAAAAGCAGCTGTATTTTTTTTTTTTTCATGAAACATAATTTCAAATTTTCTAGCCATTTTAACCACTAAAGTAGTTTCAAATTTTTATTCTTACAGGTTATTAACCATACAGCATTGTAACTATATTTAATAGCGTAAAAAATCTTTGTTTTTTTTTATATGTATTCTTACTTAGTTTTAAAACAACGGAAATTTAAATTATAATAATATTATTATACTGAACTAAGAATCGTTTTTTTTTTTTTCTTAATTTTCATTATTTTTGGTTTAAAATAATAATATAAAACTCTGTCGTATATCCAAAAGTAAAGAAAGGAGACGATATCACCCAGTTTTCATAACTTTTCAGGTTTTTTTTTTCTTCATAACGTGCAATATTTGTTTTAAATAGTTTTCGTAAATACTTTAACTTTTGGCGGCAATTCAAACAAGAAATGTTATTTCAAAAATAAAATTCTCTATACAAAATATATAAAATAACTATAGGCACTTGACAACATAAATTATTAAACACAATACAACTTTTGCAAGTATACATTTTATTCACGCAATTACATATCTGAGTAAATCGCGTAGTAGAAGCGTGTAAAAATACAAACTATAATAAGTTTACTACAATCTAAAGTGTCATTTGTTCAAATAAATAGACAATTTTAAAAAAAAAATACTTTTCTTCAGCATTTGGATGATTTTTATTTTCATGTTACTATTCCCATTCACCAAATCAATGAATATTATTCTGATTTTGATTAAAATAATATATATAGGCATTTTAAAAAAAAAGTGTATTCAAACATTCAAAAAATATTTGTACGTTCATAATCAACATTAAAATAATAATTACTCTTATTAGTTTTGTAAGAAAAAAAAACAAACTGTTCATTATGAACGAATTTTACCTGACTCGTCATATGAAGGTTTTATCGACTTTGGTTTCTGTTCGCCGCCATCGCCCAAAAAAGTTGTAGAGATTGAGCTAGACCAACGTTTACAAAAGTGATGACGACATCGTTGTGTTACCTACAAAAAAAAAAAAAAACAAAAAATATGTAATTAATGATATCGCCTTATTTATAGGTATTTAAGATATTCTTTTTAAAGAGGTATTTTTTGAGACTTTGTAATATTTTGCTTACTGTATGACCATAAGAAAATAAAGATACATAAATCATTAGTAAATTATTAGTAGACTTTACATCAAAGCATTATATTTTACATAATAAAATACTCTCACTGCTGGATTAAGTCCAAAAGTTATAGGAAATATTTGATCTATCTACTCGTGGAGCTTTTTTTTAAGGAGAGAATAGACACAGTGAATATTGATTAAAATATTCCTTATACCTATGCTGAATTTTATATTTATTTTTAAGATCATAATATAAAGAAAAGTTCAAGTGAATATAATTTTGATAAATAAGGCCCATATCAAATCTTAACATGTATTTATTTCAAAAAATAATATTTATGTGTCCCATTTTTCACATAACATTTTTGAATAAATTTAGTCAACAGTACAATAAATAATAAACGTATATAAATGTATATTAACATAATTTACGACTGAATATTTTTCATAAAACAAAATGGCTGGCAATAAAATTTGATAGGATTCCATTTTATCGCCAAATATCAAATTATATAAAACTTCTTGTTTTTTTTTTTTTTTTTTTTTTTAAGAAAATTGTGAATAATTTGTGAATTATTGGATTTTTATAACACAATTGAATAATATTGTGTCCAGATTTTATAATATCATAATGCATTATAAGCAAATTAAATTATTTAACAAAACTGATTCAATTTTTTTTTTTTTTTAATATATTACTCGTAAAAAAATTGAGTTGAAATTTTGTTAACTTCTACAGCAGGATACTTTTTTAAGCTCACATTTAGTAACTAATATACGTCATAATAAAAATTAATAATTTTATCCTTTACTTTAATAATTCGATCGTCCAAAACTGTATTAAATGTTACATCATAATCCAACTAATTTTGAGTTTTTGTTCACAAGTCTATAAACTCTTAGTACAAAACACTATTTGAAAATCCGATGATCGAAAACAACTTTTATTTCTACTTATACCTACGTATAAAATATTACTTGTTATCAAAATTAAACATAAATGTGCACGTGGTTTAGTATTGGTTTAAATTCGAAAAAACCATTTTTTAATAATATCTAAATTTTAATTACAAGTTTAGCTTGTTAATATTATTATTGTTTACTAGTAAGTATAAAAATATCGTCAATATTACAAAAATAATTGAACTTCTTGTAGCATAAAAGTTATGTATATCATGCCGAATAGTCCTTGAATATTTAAAAAATAATTTCGTATACTATAAAAGATATCCAAAAACTAGACACCATTCACTTTATTGTATTTTTGTTTTATTTTTGCGAATAAATCATCCTTGGTAGACCGTTTGACGTAGGTACGAATTTCAAGGTATATAGTATAAACATTTGGATAACACTCTAACGTAAAAACATGTACAAGTATCAGTATGAAAACAAAGATCCGAAAATCCGAAATTTGCATTCGAGACAGGTGGAGTAAGCGTATGGTTACACGCATACGTGTAATGCTCATAACGTCCGCATGGGAAAAGGAAGTTAAATCCCTCCTTAAATACACGACCCCAAAGATTTACATTTATATACATATGCGTGTAAACCCATCAGGTATTATACTTTCCGCAAAACAAATAATTATTATCTTTCTAAAAAAACTACCCAGGTTGCATTTATATTTTATTTGAAATAATTTTTTATACCGTAAATATTTGTTTGTATCCTATTGGACACTGTGAATAATTGAATTCCGGATGGCTAACTTCGATGGTTCAAAGAAAAATTTTGTTTAAAGTCATATTCATACAGAATTAATTCGAAATTACCATAATAGTAAATAATAAAGGATAAATAATCATTTCAAACATATTCAGTTTTTAAATTCATATGACCATTAAGATAAACTTAAATACGTATTTTAATAATAATTTGTTAGTCCATAAAATAATATGCAAACATAAATATCGTGGGAAATGTTTAATTAAAATAAAACAGAATAAATGTTTGCAAAAAGTTAAGTTATAAGTTAATTAATTAAAAATTTAGGTCAGTTTCTATATTTTTTTATGGGAGTAGCTATGTCCGGGATGACATACATTTAATTTATATTTAGAATACCTTTGCGTTTTACACAAATTTACGTAGGTATTTATTATTTTGGCTAGAAAACGTGAATCATCAGTTCCTTACCAAATAAAAAAAATGATTGTAAATGGATGAAATGTTTTTATGTTTATACGACTCAGCAAACAAGTTTGAGGCTACAAAACATACATATTTTATATATTTTTTTAAATTAAAGTTTCAGTGACTATACAGTGTACACTATATAGTATACACACTATACATATTAAGGTTCAACCGATTTTCGAATTTAATATTTTTAAAAAACTGATGCTGTATATGTTGTAGTTAGGAAATTGGAAAGTAAGATAAATAATGATGAATGATTGCTGATGTTGCTGATGAAATACGAATCTGAACGAAGTTCAATTTAATATGTTCTTAAATACCGTAATTTTTAAAATTTTAGTCAAAATTTGTACTTAAAATGATTTTAAAAATACCTACTTTATTTTAATTATAATTCTGTACAAATCGAACAGATAAAACAAAAACACCTACTGGATAAATATTAATGTCAAAAAATATACATATTATAACTCCAAATAACGTGAATTGGGTCTAAATAAGGTGGTTTCATTTCACGATTTTCGCAATTTATTTATTATTATCTCTAATATCGGGTTATTGTACCAAACTTGTCGTTATCTATTGATCAATTTAATGTTAAATATTTATATAATGAATAAACTAACGGTTGATAAATTAAAGTTTTAACATGTGTTAAATTTACGAGTGTTGTTGAACTTTTTATTGTTTTAAAACTAGAAAAAACTTTTTTAATTAGTAAAAATGCTCTAAATTATTCACATTGTAATCTAAAATATGCCCATTTCTCTACTTGTGGTGGTACTTTAATTGAACAGTTTTTCTTGATTCCCAACAATAAACGGTTTTTCTATAATATTGAAAAACTAACAACATTATTGACGTACATTGGTTTTGTTTTTAATGATTTCAAGGGTAACTTGGCTACATGAGAACGAAACACGATTATTACTATAATCTCATTTGGTTTGAGCTCCAGTCAGAATGGATTTTTTAATTGAAATGATTTATAGTTGCTTTCAGAATACAAAGTAAACTGCTATTTATCCTATAATTTCTCGACTATTACCACCACTAATGGCCCATCCCATGGTGCGAAATATATATTGATTACATAAAATATATATTGTATATGAAA